TATCTATAGTTTACTTTATATTAAAATATTCCTCTATTCACCAATATTCGAGCATAAAAAATAACATTATCTTTTTGCCAACGAATTAAGTAATAAAGAAAAACCCCGATTAAATAAAAGATAAAAGAAACCCAAGTTCAATTGCTAAAAGAGAATATTCTTGAAGCAAAGTAATAAGTATTATGAACGAATTTTCTTTTTAAAATAATGCCTCCAACTAAAACGACAATATTTTCTCTGATAAGGCATCGTTTAGAAAAAATAGTTTGTCACAACCATTTCCAATTTCGCTAGTGTAGCTTCTGCACATTTACCAGGTGAATCACCTTCACACCCTCATTATTTCCAATTTCTTTGACCCCTACTTGTTGTAGATTTATTTTTACCCGTCGAGAAAAACTAAAATTGTTAAATGCTCATAAAATTCAACTTGACCAAAACTTTTGTGTGATCTTTTGAATAATTTTTTAAATTCACAATCTGTACAAACAAGTAATTCGGATTCTTTTATCTTCTTTTCAAGTTTCTTGTTGATTTATTTAATCGTCAAGGAAGGAAAAGATAAATGCGAGATGAAAAGTATTATCGTTAGTTCTCAGTTGAGGAAAATTCACCAAAAAAGACCGTTAGTGTAAGTGTTGCGATATAACTGATGTCATAGTGTTGCTGTCATCCTACAAAAGACTACTTTTGGTAATATATTTTCCACACTCTTTCCTGGCGCCAACTTTTTCTTCATTTCGGTTGTGCAAAACTAATGCTTTTATGTAGTATGCTGTATTACAATCTTGAAAGTAAAGAATGGTATATTTAAAAAAAGACAATTGTTATATTCATGATTCACTTCAATATCAATGATTATAATTTAATAATAATAAATGAAAAACTCAACATTATTATATACACATGTCTAGATGTTGTTTGATTTTAACTATTCGAAAAAAAAATGTGTACAACTATTGAAGGTTTTATCGTAGACTTCATCTATTTTTATGTTTCCTATCAGCTTTTTATTTTAAAGAAAAACATCAATCGTTTTGCAAGAGTTGGAACTGTATGAGATGAAAAATAGAAAACTATAAATATTTTACAATAAAAAAAATCGATTGTTCAGCAATACACTCAGCAGCAGATTCTTATTTCAAAAATGAATCATGTAATTGGTAATTATGCAATTTAACGCCATCACCTCCGATTTTCTTAAAATTTTAGTATGTTATATAGTTCGTTATGCTGAACAAGAATATACATATATGTTGGGCGAGGAAACGTCATCTTCGCATAGTTTTTTTAGTTCAAATTTTGTACATTCAACAATCACGATAAAAATCAAAATTAGTACAAATTAAATGGTGTGTTACTTATACTTCACGAATGACTGATGCAAAAGGAAGTTGCCAGTAGGAGAGGGGGGGGGGTAAAAGTTGTCTGAAAAATGATTATTCAACCAGCTTTTTCACAAGCTCCCTCCCCCCAAATATTGATATTTGTATAGAATAAATAGTATAAATTTTTATAAATTTGGAATGTTACATACTTATTTGCATAATTAGTAATGAAGTTTTTTGTACTTTGTTCAATGATATTAAAAGTAATTACATAAATATCTGTCAAAAACGATTAAAAGATAATTTATCATTAAATATTATAATTATCTATAACTCTTTAATCCGATTTAACATAAATACGATTGAGTACTCTATGGAACTATTTTTATTACTAATTAGAAGGCATACATTACATTAAACTTTTATAAAAAATAGTTTTGAATTAAATTATTATTTCAATAAAAATACAATTAATACCAAGTATTACATAAATTACTCGAAAATAAAATATTTGGCACATGCATACAATATTGAAGTAACTTTAATCATTTTAGTTGAATGTTGGGTTTTGTGCTTGAAATAATTTTTTGAAATATAAATCTATTATATTTCAAGGTCATTTACAAATAAAGTAATTAAGTAAAAATGTTTTTCGTTTCAAACACAACGTACGTTTCAGCATTATATTAAAAAAAAAAACTAATTCAATTTTTGCCTACGCATATAATTTCTGTTTTTTTAAAAATTATTTTATAAATATTCCCACAACTATGAACAAAAATAAACATCTAATAAATAAGTCTGAGTATCAAATAAATAAGATTACTCTTGACAATTCGTTTAAACTTAAGTTATTGCTATTATTTAAAAGTTTTACATTATTTCTGAAATTTTTCAGGTCCAGAAGGCAAACCGAGATCTCCAACAACTATCAAGACATCAACGAAGAGAAATAAATCTTGCAACGATGCTGATATGCGTAGTAATTGTCTTTATCGTCTGCAATGTTCTTCCGTTAGCTTCTAATGTCTTTGAAAAGTTTCATGTTTTACCACCACCTTGGTTAGTTCAAGCTGGAAATCTACTTGTCACGATCAACAGTAGCATTAATTTTATTGTATACGTAATTTTCGGTGGAAATTTCAAAAAACTTTTCATCAGACTATTTTGTAGCTCACGATTCTTTGGAGCTGGACGAGACAGTCCCGAATTTCAAACTAATGATGAATCAGTTATTACTAATACAACGAATATAGAATTAAAGAATTCTATTAGAAGGAATCATCTTCAAAGGTCAAATACAACTATAGTAAGAAACAATAACATTCATATAAATGGAAACACGAGGGCAAGTGTTAGGATTCTTACGAGGTCAGCAAGTCCAAGTCCTTGTGTTTATTATCCTACCCGAAGTCCAAGCCAAATGTCAAGAAACTGCGTTCAAAACGGTTGGAATCGAATAGATACAGAAACAACTCTCAACTGAAATACCTAATCCTAGGAGTATAGTTTGGCATAGAAATTCCACCAAATTGGAATTCGGATATGTGTAGAAAAGTGTGTAACCGTTTACGTTATCGATATTGGCGACTGGTGACAATGTTATGGAGCTAATTCTCAAGACTATTTTTCTCAACAACTTAGGTTGGATCAAGGAAATACATAACAAGAAACTTTTCTCAATATTCGAGGTTTATAGTATCCACAAAAAAATTTAAGAGAAGCACGTCCAGAATAAAGTTAAATTGTCTTAGGTGTCACGTATTCAAGTTTCTTCAATAGTATAATTCGATTTTATGATACGAAAGTGAAGAAATGCGTTCTAAAGATTTTTTTTTCGTTTTTAGCACGCATTTTTTTAAACTTGAAAAAATAACATCCAACGTGTCGTGTATAATTGAATGTATATATCTTCAATAATTAATAGAACTGATGAAATTGTATAAATGTAGCTTGTGTGCAAATTATCTTGAAGAAGAAAAAAAACTGACCAAAATCTTCTTCAATATACGACTGAAAAATGTACCAGTGAATCTATAATATAATTAAATATAACTGTTTAAAAATTGTTTTCAAATAAAAATATATTTATTTAAGATTATAAAACTATGTTATTGTAAATACTAATTCACTTTCATATGTTAAAAATTTTTTCACATACCTCTAAGTTTATTTAGAAAAATGTTATATTTACTGGCCTCTCTAATCAAAATTTGAAAGTATTTCAGTGTTTGAAAAAAGAGAAATCAATACAATTACCTACATAAGTTAAATGTCATTATTATATTACAACTAAGAATCATAAACTATTAAACATCCAAATTATCTAATTAATGAACACATTTTAAATACCAATAACCACCTATAATTACCAAATTATTCGATGCCAACAAAGTACCTCAAAGTTTGTATGTGATAAAATAAGTATTGAGCGCTTTAGTTAATCAAGAATGAATATGCTATTACGAAAAAGGATGTCAACGATTTCATTACGAATTATATTCAATTGATCTAAAATTAACATACAAAAATTTAATATAAAATTCAATTAAAATGCGAAATTTTCGACTATTTAAATAATTTGACTATTTATTTACTTAAAAATATCAAAGTAAAAAAAAATTATTTACTCTAAATATATACCTAAAAAATTTATAAAGATCACAAATACAGTTATCCTTGTTGAATTTAAAATAAATTAAAAATGTGATAAACATCGCAGATGACAAAAATCATAAAATATCTATACATTAACAAAAAATAGAGTAATATGTATGTATACATACATAATATATGATGAATTTAGAATAATTTATTTAATTGCTCATTTTAAGATATAAATAGTAACTTTTTTGGTAGAACATTTTTTATTGATAAATTTCGTCTATCTTTATACTTTTCATCACATAAAACTGTTTATTAATACCTTATTTAAAATTTCAAGTCTAATTCAATAAAATTTCCAAAATCAGTTTAAGCATTTACCATTAAAATGAATAAAAATAAAGGGAAAAAAGACGCTCTCATGGCTGCACGATAAAATCTTACCGTATTCTAGTCATGAACTTTTCATTGGATAATATTATGTAGATAATAATTTTAATATACATATATGTAAGAGAAATATATTGTAATATTGAAAATGCTATTAAGACAATGATGGAATAATAGTAAAAACGAATTATCACAATATATTATATATTACTATAGTAATAAAATACAAATAAAGAAATTTTTAATTTTTGAGCTTATTTAGGTAAAACAAAATATTTTCTATCCAAAAGATATTATTCATATTAATCGTCATACTACAACTATGTAGATACTTGAATAATTTTTTAATTATTTTTGTGTCTTTTTCAATAAATGAGTTAATTTAAAAATACTCTGTTTTTTTATCAACAAAAATGTGTATATATTATGTATAAATATACATCTTACTGAAGTATATTTACTGTATATTATCTGATAAAATACATTCAACATAATTTTGAAGTTTTTTTATTAATTCACCTTTCCAAATACAACTTATATCTTTGAATTATAAAAGTAACCATTAATTCAATAGATCAAAAACGAAATAGATAAATACAATTTTGTTTACCAATATTATCATATATAATTCTTTATTTTGAAATGATAGTTAGGATTAGTAATAAATCAAAAATATTATTTGAGATAAGAAGTTCTTATTTTATCATTTATTTGAGAATTTTCAATGAATTATTCACAAAAGAATTCGAACAATTGTTACATAAGTTAAATCTTTCTTCTACAACTTCGTAATATATTTTCAGCTTATTTTTCCACAGCAGGCTTTTTCTTTGGTTTCAAAACGTTGTATAAAATAGCTATGCCAAGAAGACTAAGGGTCAATTTCGAAGTCTAAAAATTAAGCGAAAATAAATGGATCAATCTTATAATAGATGAGATTCATAAATAAGGTTAGATTAAAAACGGATAACTACTTACGTTTGCTCGACCGTAATCGGTCGTACTATTAAAATATTTTTTGATGCCAGTAAAATTTTCACCTTCATTAGCCATTTTTGTTGATTATACTGTTAAAAAACTATAAGATTTTAATAGTTAACCGGTCAAATTATTTTGAAATTTCAATTTGGTTTTTAACACTGTTTTCATACTCATGCAAAGATAATTCAGACACTATAGTAATTGGTTAGGAATCATTATTCTATACTGTATGTTACTTCATCCTTTTTTACCAGCCGAAACAGGCGCCAAATTTAATGTATATTAAAAGAAATAAATATTGAAAAAAAATTTTTTATTCCAAATTCATAAAATAGTAAAAAAAAAAAACTTCACCGTAAATTATATTTCGAAAAAATCAACTAATATAATTTGAATATAGACGTCCTTCACTAAAGAATGTTCCATTAACTTCGTAAATATACTATAACTAAACATTGTTTATCTTAAATATAAAAGATATTATGAAATTATGAAAATTAACATTAATTTAATGAAAACTAAAATAAATAAGTTTATAAAAATAACTATCAGTCAGTAAAAGTTTCAATTAAGTCAAAATACATTAATTTATAAAGAACAAAAAGATTCAATTCTTACTCAATTCTTCAAAGTGATATGAAAAAGTAATAGCCTGAGTTAACATGTTGCATATGTCAATTAATATCAGGGGTATGTAAGGAGCATTAATAACTAAACTTATTAAATCATAGGTGTTTATAACACCTAAACGCAATAATAATTCAAAAATAAATCGAAGTTTAACCAAAACTAATTCATCAGTAGCTGTATGGTCTTCTTCTAAACATGATTCCCTGATATTATAAAAATGTTCAAACATGAATGGATATTCTTGATTTTTTATTTGTCGTAACGCCATCGGAAACTGAAAGATTGGTTTATTATTATCAAGTTCAGTAAATGTTAATCTAAATTCATCAATCGTCATCCATATGTCATTGTCGAAATGAAATACACAAACTTTTTTACTGGATAAAAATATTGCTTGACATATATTATTATGATTTTTTCTTTTTGTATACTTGGTATTGTTACTGTAATAGTAAATAAAAATTATAAATTATTTTATCAAGTTATTGGTAAAAAATATAATTAGATCTACCTGCGGTGATTTAAAAGGATTTGCTGAAGAGATTGAACGTGAATAATTTTCATTATGAATATTTTGTGAACTTTCTGCTAATGTTTGACCATTTATTAATCCTATATTTTCACAATTTTTGTCACGTTGACAAAAATTTTTGCATGGCTTGTTCGAATGGTCCAGCCTCGAACTATTTTTTGATGCACTATACATCACAGGAGGAGATTGATAAATAATTTTTGATGAATTCTGCTGATGACTCCCAAAAATAGTTTCTGAACAATCTCTCTTTGACACCATATTTAGTGGCCTAGGAGGCAACGGTGGTGGTTTAGTCGTATTTTTCTTTGATATACCATTGATAGATAAATTTTTTTTAAACGGATTTGTATCATGGAAACTTTCCGTAAATGGATTTAATTTTTTTTCCACTAAATTTTTCGAATCAATAATATTTCTATCTTCAAAAAATTTTTTAGCAACTTCTTTAATTGAAGTTTCTAATTTACTTCTCTTTATTTCAATTTCTGTTGTTAAAGATACTGGGTTTGAGACATCAGCATTTGATCGTTCTTTATCAGAATTATTATTTATATCTGTAGAATTTGATGCACTTTTGTCTTTTAATACTAAGTTGTTCATTTTAATTGATTCAGAAGTAATTGCAACTTGTTTACTCTCTCCGACATTTGAATGATTTTCTTTATTAGCACTAAATCCATTTGAAAGAGCTAATGCATTTATATTATCTGTAAATATTTCTTGAGGATCTAAATCCATAAAAGAAAAAATGAGTTCCAACATTGAATCAGTTAGTGATTCACCTACAAAATTTTGAATAATTCCATGTGCAGCTGATCCCATATTGTTTTTCACAAAATCATGATATAATCTCATGGTTAACATAATAAATTCGTCTATTTTTTTTCGTATTTGTGATTTATATGCTTTCCAATCGTATTTATATAATTCAAGTTTATTATTCAAAGAACTAAAACTTTTAGGTGATTTGTTAATAAATGAAATCATTCCACCATTTGATTCCGGACGACGAGTTGTAGGAATTATTGTCTCAATAACTCCATTCTCTTCAGCATAGTATTCACAAAGATCGTCCACGTATAAATTCATATCTTCGGGATCAACGCATTCCTAGAAAAATTTGTAATATTATATATTCAAAGGAACGAAATTTACTTCAAACTCACTTAATGAAGAGATTATATCTTTGTTAGCGTTTTTTGCAATGTGATATTCAGAAAAATTTATTGAGGATGAAACCAAAATAAAAAAAAAAAAAATTTTCTAAATAATCCCCATTTGTGCCTTGAAAATTTATTTTAAAGATAAGCACAACTCATCAACGCCATCAATATTTGACAGTATGGTGATCATTGAATACTATGTAAAGCACGTAAATTTACTTCTCTCAACTAGAAGAATTTATGATAACTTATGCTGTAAGAAAATAACAGGAAAAAAAAGATAAAACTGCGAAAATTCGTTATTTAACTATGAAATTTCGTTTGATGCGGTTAAATAAGCGAGAAAGAACTGTATTCGATTTATGACTCAATTCATCAGTATCATCATATATATCAACATCGAAAACGTCATCGAAATAAATTTCTTTAATAGTTCAGATAATTCTTCAATATTTTTTACTTGCTGCATTCTATTTTTTTTGAGCCAAGAAATTACTTTATCAAAAGACGTTTCTCTATTATTATCAGTTTTTGATTTTTGCTCAATAAACTTTGTTGTGCAATTTCCACAAGTAGGACAAATATCTTGTACATTTGTTTTATTGTTAGATTCAAAGTGATTAGAAACATTACAAAGTTTTTGGAGCAAACTCATACGACGAGATAAAGGACTTTTAGATGTTAGTTCATGATAAGTAGGAATTGAGCAAGTATTTTGATCATCGACTACTTGAATATTTAAACTTTTTCCAATATTCCCACACTGCAAATAACGTTCATAAAGAAAATTTTTCAGTCGAATACGAACCATTCTTTTAACTTTCGCCATTTTCTTATCAATTAACCAATCGTTTATAAAAAAATCATCTTTCCCTGAAGTATCTGCTAGAGTAACTAACATTGAGTTTCTCTATAAAATAAAGAAAAATTTTTTATAAATACGATCTGCTAGTTGATTAACAAAATAACATTATACTGAAAATTAATTTGTGATATTACCTCAGCATCTATTTCAACTATATTTGCCCATAGCGGTCTTTCACAAACCCATTGAGTGAACCAATCTCGAACTCTTTTTGGCCATTTATCACCCTCATGAGGAGCAACACTATACAATCCGCATGGAACAGCTTGAGCAGGAAGTGCCGTAAATGATCGATGAAGATAAAATATCTCATTAGATGGGTATTTATCTACAGTACCATAATCATAAAACAATACCTGCAAAAATGATAAAAAAATTCATTGAATATCTCTATTGTTTCTATTGATACTTATTGACTACTTACTGTTACTCTACAGTTAGGATCAACACTTTTTATTATTGCTCTATGCCATTTTCCGTAGAATACACAGGCAATGTTCAATCCTCGTTCCAACATAATTATGGGAACTGCATATTTTTGATAATTTGAATCGTAGAATTCTCTAAATAAATAATACTCATAAATAAAAAATTGTTCATTACATTATATGCTTAAAAATATATAAATCTTTAAAGTTATTTTACCCTAAGCTTCTCATCATTTTATTGAATTTATTTTTATTCTTTAACAAACGGATCCAGAAAAATGATGGAGAATACGCTTCAACAACTTCTACTTCTACCATTGGATTTTCATTTTTATCAACATTATTACTTATTTTCAAATCAGTGACTAAAACTTGCCCAACCGTTTCTTGAATGGTGATAACGTCATCTGGGCATAATTGTTTACTGAAGCTAGCAGGAACGCTCGTTGGAATAGGTTCAATGTCAACATCACCGTATATATCAAACAATGATGCTGTAGTTAATTTTTTGGGTATTTTAGACGGTTTGTCATCAGGTACAGGTTCTTTTGCATTATAGAGTTTAAAATCGCCATTCAATTGAGGTCCAATAACATGAAAAATATCAGAAAGATGAGCAGTGAAATCACTGAGACGATGAAATCCAAGATTGGTCCATTCTAAAGGAATTTTATATTCTTCTTCATATAATTTAGGTAACTCAGTACACCAAATTCCTTGAGGACGACTTTGAATGAGTTTTTCTAAGCGAAATTTTACGCGTTTACTCAGAGCAGTTGATACATAATCTTTGTTTTGTGAAAAGATATATTCTCGTCGATTCGTAGTATCGATTATATTCTCAGAATTGTCTGAGCATAACAAAGTTTCATGTGTTATATTTTGTTGATGTAATTTAGCCATGTCTGAATAGTTCATGCGGTGTTCTTCTTCAACACTATTATAATGATTGTTACAGTCAGAAGCCTTTATTTCGTGTAAAAGATCATTTTCAGTAACACAAAATTGATTAGTCTCTAGGTCAATAAATCCGTTATAGTCTAAATCTTCTTTCATGGGATTAGATCGTGTCTTATTGTTCGTGTATGTCGATTGATAATTAGCATCATAATGATTAAATCGGGTTGAATCAACTTGATCACAACGATAATATCCAGAATTATGGCTATCATCAGATTTTTTTCTTATATTTTCATAGATTAATTTATCTCTTATTGTAATTTGTTTGCCAAGAATTTTTAAATAATCATTCAAGGTGGTTAGATTTTCATCCAAAGCACATTCATAATTCAATTTTTGCAATAATTCCGTCCTAGTTAATCCGTTTGAATATCTTCTTAATATAGAAAGAATATTATCCGTGATATTTCTATTAGTTCTTGTTAATGATCCATACGAACGTGATCCATATGAATTTGATGAATTTTTTGTATATCCTGTATAACGTCGAGCATTTCTTGGTGGATTTTTATATCGTTGCTTCGATACAAGGTCAACGATATGTTGTGAATCTTCAGTCCCCATAAAATTCACGTAATGAGCATTATACATTTCGATCACTTCAACACCCGGCACAGTCTTTAAGTAATCAACAAGTTTTGGAAATCCTAATTTTGCATATGGGATACGTTCTCCCGTTTCTTCTCTATAGTCTCGTTCAATTTTTGCAATTGGTATTGCCGTTTTATTTTTTTCAGCCGCTAATTGAGCAACAATTAGAGAATTAATTTCATTAATTTCTTTTGAATTCACCATTGTTTCTATGTATTTATATCACTTTATTTAGCTAAATTTTAAATGCAATATACCATCACTAAATAAGATTTATAACGATTACATTAAAATTATAGAAACACGTTGATACATTCAAAATATTCTCAATGACTATGAGTGACAAAAAACTGACCGTGCACGAGTTTAGTCAAAAAGTGGGAGATCATGCTGAGTGTCGCTAGTAATTTTAACCAATCATCGTCCTGATATGACGCGCAGGCACTTCTTCGCGCAATGTTTACATCTCTGTCTCTTAACTGAATCTGACACAAAATATTTCCTTTGTTTATTGATAGTATTTTTTGTTATGTCTTCAGTTATTAGAAATTATTGTATGTACTAAAATAAATATATTCAAAATAAAAATTATCACAACCTGTTTCATATGGTACACCATACCTATATAAAAATTGTGTCCATTGTAGATGAAATTTACACTGTATACGGCTGCAATACTGTAATGCAACAAAAAAAATAAGTTGAAAAATTTATTTTCATGTTTATTTTTTTGTTTTGGAATGGTCTTATATACTAATGAAATGAATTAACTTTATTTTATTAACCCGAATTTTAAATAACTCCATTACAAAAAATAAGTTTTTCTAAAAAAAATATTTCGGTAAATTAGTACATAATATTTTTAGTCGATAATGTAAATTGCTGCTCATTAAACAAGTGTTTGTCGAAGATATGGTAAAATTATGCTCATAAAAATTCAAATTATTTTTCTACACAACATGTAAATAAATGAACCCATATAACATTTATACATTTTCAAAACAATATTCAGCTAATCAACTTTTGTAATGTTGAGAATTGCATTATTTGCGTACATAAATTTTATCATATTTTTTAATTTATTTTTTATTGACTTCTATTTTAGCAAGTCTCATAGATTAATGTTACACACAAATATTTACAACACAATAAAAAACTGAATACTCAAACCTTATAATATAGTTACCATTATCGTGTAGATACATATACATGTATATAACAGTTTTTTTTTTTTAAATAATGAGCTAAGAAATGATATTACTAAAACCACTTTACAAATTTTGAGAATAAATAAAGCGAAATTTATGTGTTACTACAAAAATAGAATTTAATAATAGTAAAAATTATAATTGTTGATATTTAGTATCATTTGTCTCTTGATTTAGATTTTAAATAATTGTCTAATATTATAATTAAAAATTTGAATATAAAATCTAATACTTTCTAACAGAATAACGATATACTTAAATAATTAAAATTATGTTCATAGATTTTTTTACTTGCGATTCACATACTCTTTAATCATATTTATATATTTCAAATTTATTATTTAAAGAATTATAACTTTTTGGTTCTTTACTCTTAGATGAATTCATTTTATCATAGAATTTCGAACAGTAACTCATAGAAATTGTTTTTAAATTATTCTGCAGCATTATATTTAAAATTATAATCTACGAAAAAATTCATATCATCTAGATTAACATAATTCTGAAAAATTTTGAAATAATAAATAACACAAATAAAAAATAACTTTCTCCTTAAATTTATTTATTAAAAAAATAATAATTTTATTGTACATTTTCTTCAATGTAATTGAATTTACTCAAAAAAAAAAAAAATTCAATAAATGAAAATTAAACTAAAATAAAAAGTAATAAATAAATACAGTTACTAAATAATCTATTCATCGCTTGAAAACATAAAATTAATTACTTATTTTTTGAAAATTTATCGAAGAATTCACGGAAGAACTTTTTGTAATGAAATCTGTTATACTAAAAAATACTAACAAGTGCCCAAATTTTAAGTTATTTTTATTACAGTATGTGATATGTTCTCAACATACCCAAGCTGTATAGATACTGTTCTTATAAAACTTTTTTCCATGTATTGATATTTTATTGGTACACTGACTTCTCGTTTAACTCGAGAAAAAATAATAAAAAATAGATAAAAAAAATTGTCAAAGTTCGTTACTAAAATTCTAAGATTTCTTCGATATGGTCAAAAAGACTATAGAGAAATATTTTCCGATTTTTCACTTAATTCGTCGTCATTATCATCTATATTAACGTCAGAATCATTATCGGAATGGATTTCTTTCAGAGTACATTTTTTTTTATTTGAATTAGTCTGTTGATAATAAAACTGACTCAAGAAATCATATTCTATGCAAACATCCATCTCACTATCGTCAGTTAAAGATTCATTGTCATTAAAAACGGGAATATCATTTGTTTTTATAATTGTTAATTCTTGATTTGTGTCCATATTTATTTCATTGTCTTGCTTTATCGGAAATATTTCCATTATTTTACATTGATCATTGTTGTTATCTTCATTACATTCCTGAAATGATTTGTAACTTTCTACTCTGTTTTCTTCTCCATCTTGATTTTTACTTCCAGATAATTCAGTACTTGAATAATCGAAATCGTCCGAATCTAATTCAGAGTTGTCTTTAAATTCATCAGATTTGAAATCTACTCGATTTAATCTTTCAAACAAATTTTTTTCAATAGCTGCACGATAAAAATAATTTAATTTTTCTGTATTTGCCTCACAATTATGGATATTATTTTCTTTTTTCCCGATTTCACCTTTTTTATTCAATACTTCTGTTATTGTATTATTCTTTGAAATTTCTGAATGGCCAAGTACTTGTTTTCTGTCTTCATCTTTTCTTTTTTCTTCTATTCTATTTTTGTCTTCAAGACCAGAATTTGTTAGTTCGTTTTGTACATTGTATAAATCATTTGACGATTCATTGAATGATATATTGCTAACGGGTTCTTGAAAGTTACTTTGCGTTATTTCTTTTATAGCATCTGGAATTGTTACGTCAATCGATTCGTAGGATTTATTAATAATATTTAAAGTTTTTATTACCATAGGAGTTATCACGTCAGACTTGACGATTTCATGTTCTGGTCTCAAATGTAATATATCTTCTTGAAAAGTTTCTAATGGATGATATGCTTTAATGAAGTTTTTGAATGATTCATTAATTTTCTTTAATATAAGTTTTTTTTCTTTCGGTGTTGATGATAATTCATGAGTGTGAAACGATTGATTTTTAAGTAATGTTACCGAATTATGATCCAGTTGTTTCGATTCTGTATTTATTGCGGTTTTAATTTCATCCCAATTGATAGGTTCTATTTTTTGATGCCACTGAGCAATACTGTCAGATGCATCATCTGAATTCTGATCAGAAGGTTGGAAATCACGTATTAAAAATGATTGTTTTTGTGGAGTAATTGATGTTATTGAATGATTATTGCAACTTAATTGATTAGATCTAAAACTATCGAATCGATTGTTGTCTACATCATTATTATGAGTTTCTTTTGTGGAATCATTTTCTATGACTTTTTTTCCTAAAGAAATACTGTCTTCCACACCATAAGAGTTTTCTAAACTGGAATTAATATCTTTTCTTTTGACTATATCTTTAGTTGGGAAGCTCTTCATATTATTTAAATTTACAGATAATTCTTCAATATTTTTTACTTGCTGCATTCTATTTTTTTTGAGCCAAGAAATTACTTTATCAAAAGACGTTTCTCTATTATTATCAGTTTTTGATTTTTGCTCAATAAACTTTGTTGTGCAATTTCCACAAGTAGGACAAATATCTTGTACATTTGTTTTATTGTTAGATTCAAAGTGATTAGAAACATTACAAAGTTTTTGGAGCAAACTCATACGACGAGATAAAGGACTTTTAGATGTTAGTTCATGATAAGTAGGAATTGAGCAAGTATTTTGATCATCGACTACTTGAATATTTAAACTTTTTCCAATATTCCCACACTGCAAATAACGTTCATAAAGAAAATTTTTCAGTCGAATACGAACCATTCTTTTAACTTTCGCCATTTTCTTATCAATTAACCAATCGTTTATAAAAAAATCATCTTTCCCTGAAGTATCTGCTAGAGTAACTAACATTGAGTTTCTCTATAAAATAAAGAAAAATTTTTTATAAATACGATCTGCTAGTTGATTAACAAAATAACATTATACTGAAAATTAATTTGTGATATTACCTCAGCATCTATTTCAACTATATTTGCCCATAGCGGTCTTTCACAAACCCATTGAGTGAACCAATCTCGAACTCTTTTTGGCCATTTATCACCCTCATGAGGAGCAACACTATACAATCCGCATGGAACAGCTTGAGCAGGAAGTGCCGTAAATGATCGATGAAGATAAAATATCTCATTAGATGGGTATTTATCTACAGTACCATAATCATAAAACAATACCTGCAAAAATGATAAAAAAATTCATTGAATATCTCTATTGTTTCTATTGATACTTATTGACTACTTACTGTTACTCTACAGTTAGGATCAACACTTTTTATTATTGCTCTATGCCATTTTCCGTAGAATACACAGGCAATGTTCAATCCTCGTTCCAACATAATTATGGGAACTGCATATTTTTGATAATTGAATCGTAGAATTCTCTAAATAAATAATACTCATAAATAAAAAATTGTTCATTACATTATATGCTTAAAAATATATAAATCTTTAAAGTTATTTTACCCTAAGCTTCTCATCATTTTATTGAATTTATTTTTATTCTTTAACAAACGGATCCAGAAAAATGATGGAGAATACGCTTCAACAACTTCTACTTCTACCATTGGATTTTCATTTTTATCAACATTATTACTTATTTTCAAATCAGTGACTAAAACTTGCCCAACCGTTTCTTGAATGGTGATAACGTCATCTGGGCATAATTGTTTACTGAAGCTAGCAGGAACGCTCGTTGGAATAGGTTCAATGTCAACATCACCGTATATATCAAACAATGATGCTGTAGTTAATTTTTTGGGTATTTTAGACGGTTTGTCATCAGGTACAGGTTCTTTTGCATTATAGAGTTTAAAATCGCCATTCAATTGAGGTCCAATAACATGAAAAATATCAGAAAGATGAGCAGTGAAATCACTGAGACGATGAAATCCAAGATTGGTCCATTCTAAAGGAATTTTATATTCTTCTTCATATAATTTAGGTAACTCAGTACACCAAATTCCTTGAGGACGACTTTGAATGAGTTTTTCTAAGCGAAATTTTACGCGTTTACTCAGAGCAGTTGATACATAATCTTTGTTTTGTGAAAAGATATATTCTCGTCGATTCGTAGTATCGATTATATTCTCAGAATTGTCTGAGCATAACAAAGTTTCATGTGTTATATTTTGTTGATGTAATTTAGCCATGTCTGAATAGTTCATGCGGTGTTCTTCTTCAACACTATTATAATGATTGTTACAGTCAGAAGCCTTTATTTCGTGTAAAAGATCATTTTCAGTAACACAAAATTGATTAGTCTCTAGGTCAATAAATCCGTTATAGTCTAAATCTTCTTTCATGGGATTAGATCGTGTCTTATTGTTCGTGTATGTCGATTGATAATTAGCATCATAATGATTAAATCGGGTTGAATCAACTTGATCACAACGATAATATCCAGAATTATGGCTATCATCAGATTTTTTTCTTATATTTTCATAGATTAATTTATCTCTTATTGTAATTTGTTTGCCAAGAATTTTTAAATAATCATTCAAGGTGGTTAGATTTTCATCCAAAGCACATTCATAATTCAATTTTTGCAATAATTCCGTCCTAGTTAATCCGTTTGAATATCTTCTTAATATAGAAAGAATATTATCCGTGATATTTCTATTAGTTCTTGTTAATGATCCATACGAACGTGATCCATATGAATTTGATGAATTTTTTGTATATCCTGTATAACGTCGAGCATTTCTTGGTGGATTTTTATATCGTTGCTTCGATACAAGGTCAACGATATGTTGTGAATCTTCAGTCCCCATAAAATTCACGTAATGAGCATTATACATTTCGATCACTTCAACACCCGGCACAGTCTTTAAGTAATCAACAAGTTTTGGAAATCCTAATTTTGCATATGGGATACGTTCTCCCGTTTCTTCTCTATAGTCTCGTTCAATGTTTGCAATTGGTATTGCCGTTTTATTTTTTTCAGCCGTTAATTGAGCAACAATTAAAGAATTAATTTCATTAATTTCTTCTGAATTCACCATTGTTCTTTTGTTTTCTTTATCACTTGTATGAAATAAACTTGTTGAAACTGTATCTCATAACCAAATTTGATAATCTTCTATGAAACTTCTATGTATTAATTCGATTGAAAAATAAGCATTTGACAATATTCTCATGAATCGTCTTTTAGATACATTAGAATATCTAATCGCGACTGAATGACAAAAAATCGTCAATATACGAGTTTGTTCTGAGAGTGGGAGATTACATCAAGTTATTACCGGTAATTTGAACCAATCCTCCTCTTTCATGTACTAACATGTGCTAAGATGATGCGCCGTGACTACTTTGCGCAATGTTTATATTTTATTTTCCCTTCTCAATACAATTTGATTGAAAGTATTTCCTTTGTTTTTTATTATTATCTTTGTTATGTCTTTAATTATTTTAAATTATTTTAATCTAAAAAAAAAGTTTCAAAATTATTAACAACTTATCGATATTCCAATTAAAAACTAATTATATTAAAAAAGAGAAACATTTATTAGATTGACTAATATCATAAATTCATATTATAAAATACATAGTAAGCATGAACTTTTTTCATTGTAATTAAAAAAATTCATGTATTTTAATGAAAACCATTGTATGTTATAAACTGAAGTAATTAAATTGATTAAATGGTGGTTAGATGGAATTTTTATGTTTGCAGATAAACTAAAATAGGGTGAGTTTGCTACAGTACGATTACAATTTACTATAGATATCTAAAGCCTATGTCCCGTTCGAAATATGTTTGTCTCAACAGTGCAGATAAACGTCAGCCCTCTTGACGTTTGACTCGTTTTAACTAAGGTAAAAAATATAATAAAATGTTTTCAATGTAGACGAGTTTTATATAAAAAGGAAACATAGTGTTTCCGTGAGCTTAGTCTTCAATAAATCATATATTTAAGTATATCTAAGTAAGAAAATTGACAAAAGACCTAATCAAAGAGGGTGATCAAAGGAGCAAAAAGTAAGAAAAAATCTAAATTTAGTCTTAAGCATTTTTACTCATAGACAACTAAAAATAAACTTCATTATTCATTACAGTTAAACAATAATTAATTAAAACAAAAAAATTTATAATGGCACCGTCTTATTTGGAAATTATTCTTGTGGGGTTTATTTTAATCCTTCCATTTCTCTATGAAACGAGCAGTACTTTTAGATATTACTTCAAATTTTTGGTATATTATGGAATTGTCATGGCCAACTCAATTATCTTGATTCCTATCATGATGTTTAGACCGGGGAATGTAAAAAATCTCTTGTGAGTAAATTTCAATGATTACTATAATTTTTTTATAAGTCTACGTAATAATTGAAAGGAAATAATAAATCATACTTATTATAGATTGGCTTCTTCCATTTGTCATAATGTAAGCAATTTACTTGGTTTGAGATGGGAGCTGAAAGGCAGAGAAAATTTAGAAAGAGATCAAGCATGTATTGTTGTTGCTAATCATCAAAGTTCTTTAGATATTTTAGGAATGTTTGAAATATGGCGTGTTATGGATAAATGTACGGTCGTTGCAAAAAAAGAATTATTTTATGCATGGCCTTTTGGACTCGCTGCGTGGCTTTGCGGACTTATTTTTATTGATAGAATGAATTCTGAAAAGGCTCGTGCTGTTCTAAATACTGCTACTGATAAGATAAAAGAAAAGAAGGTAACAATAATTATTTTATAATCATTCCTATTTTTATTCAGTCAAAAATTCACACAATAATAATTTTTAGATCAAACTTTGGATATTTCCTGAAGGAACTAGACATAATACAGGAGAAATTCATCCATTTAAAAAAGGAGCTTTTCATGTTGCTGTTAATTCACAACTTCCCATTTTGCCAGTGGTATTTTCATCTTATTACTTTTTATCAAAGAAAGATAAACGATTTGATTCAGGTAATCAACATTGGATTAGTTTACGACCGTTCGAAAAAGTATTTTCAAAGCAGTTGTTTTATAGGACGTATTGTCATCACGACTCTACCTGCAATTGACACGAAAGGCCTAGGAACAGAGGATGTTGAAGCTCTCATGGATAAAACTCGGAACGCAATGTCTGAGGTATTTTATTCTAGTACTCGAGAAGTGCAGCGATCACTCAACTTATGTAAACAACACGTTAACTAGTCCCAAAAAACCAAAGACTTATACATGATTTTAAATTTAATTTGATAGTATTCTATTAAAATAATTATGCTAAATAGTCATTTTTCCATATCCGATCTGACTTGCTTGTCAACTTTATAAGCTTATTTAATAATTTAGGTTTTATAAAATTATTATTTATTACCGTAACAATATTACTGAAGGCTGGTACATGTCATCCAATAATTATTGTTTAGAATTATTTTTACGCATTCCAGTTCTACATTTAATTTGATTTTTTGTCAATTCTTTTAAGATTATTAATATATAGTTGTAAATGTCAATGTACTATTTTTGTGATTCTTTAAAATAGATAATAATACTAATTTAATTCATAAAAATTTTGATTTAAATTAGCTCATATTGTTTTCGTAACTTCTAGTCATACATATATTATACTACTGATGATTGTCCAAAACTTTATAACGACTTTTCAATAATAAACATAAGATAATGAAACTTATCAGACTCAAGTCAATAAATTTTTTAATGTAACGTTTATGAAATTTAACACAAGATTACATAAAGATAAAATTTCCACTCAGGGAAATAGACTCTGTAAACTTAGATTTTAATCCTTACCAATTTTTTAAACATTTACTAATAATAATATGTGAGCGATAGGAGTAACTATGTGTACATCGAAATAAATGTTCAATTTTTCTGTATTTACGGAATTCAATGAAAGGAATGAAATATATTTCATTGCACTTAATTTTGTTATCTGTTTTATTAACAAAAATGGTTACAATACATTCTTTCTATCATAAAAATAAACCACGTACTGAAAAAAAAAAAAAAATTGTAAATTATTTATAGAAATAATTACTTGGAAAAATAAAAATCTTTATTCGCTTTTAGAACTTCTTTTTTCTTGACTTTCAGTCCAAGCTTGTGCAATAGTTCTTTTCATATCATCATCTCCTTCTTGATACATTTTCTTCATGAGATTCATTAATCCAGCCTCAGGATCAGAAGATTCAAAATCTGGAGTTGTATTCTTAGCCTCTTTAATTCTTTTTTCAATACCAGTTACATGAGACCAATTTTTAGGCAATTTTTTATTCAAAAAAACAACAATCATATCAGTTTTAATTTTTGTGTAGCTTTTATTTGGATCAATGTCTTCACATAAGTTGGAAATTGATAGCTGATAATTTTTGTTGTCTAATCCCAATACTCTTAAATTCATTGATCTCTCAGTAAAATTACAAGTTACAGCTTCTTGCGGTAAAGTTTGAACGTTTTTCAAAGTAATATATAGCTTCATAAATTTATCTGACTGATCCCAACAATAATTAGTTAATTTTATGTCATAACATTTAGATTCTGATGAAGTGTGAGTATTAGAAATTGATCTCAGAGATTCATTTTCATTGTTTAAATTTGTCTCTATTAATTTAGAAAGCTCAGTTTGTAAACGTCTAAGTTCTAAGCTAAGAATATCTTTAGTTTTTTGTCTGTGAGCTTGATGAATAAATGAGTTCAATTCTTTAATGTCAAGTTCAATCTAGTAAAAACAAAATAAGTATCATTTGTTGATAAAGTATTTTTAAAGTTTTTAGTAAAAGAAACAGCTTTATTCTAAATATACTTACTTCTTTTTGTCTAGTAGACATATTAGTTTTATTTTATTATATTTTCTTATTATTCGTTGACAAAACTTTCACTTTAACAATTAAATACTAAATTGCAAACAAAACAAGAAGGAATGAACGACTGCTGTATCTTCTCTGGTGCGGGTCAGAATACGTTATGAATCGACGCTAAATTCATTCTTCTTTCCACACCTAACTCATAATATTCGAGAAGCTTCTGGTGTAAATGCTCTTGTATGTATACTATCAGAAATTTGAATTCACACTTGTACATACATATAGGTATTTTATTTGTGTATACATGTGTTTGTGAATAGAAAAAGAAAAAACAATAGTATACTATTATTCAATTTATAATTTTAAAAGCGTTTATTATTCATAAAATTATAGAAATTAAAAAAAAAGAAATCTTTCTTTACCAAGGACATTTTCAAAATGGAGTAAATTCATTATTTCACAAGTTGTTTTTTATTTAGCAATATTATCAAATTTACTTTCTAACCTTAAAAACACTGATGGACCATTCAATATGTATTTATTGTTTTAGTTTTAAGGATATAAAAAATTTTAATAAGAAATGAATGTAAGTTTTATTAATTCTAAAATAATTTTAAAAAATCACTTTACTTGAGAAGATAATAAAAAAAATAAATCATGTTTCCAATATGTAATGGCAAAATAATTTTTGAATCGTTTTAGTATACAAATTTATTAACAACTAATGAATCAAAAGATGACGATATACACTTAATAAATAAAGATGATCGAACCTATGATGATGTCCCTAAACAATCAAGTAGTCTTTTGTACTACCTCTTTTTAAGTATTTTGCTAATAATTATAGCAGCAATTTGTATACGATTAGTATACAGAGATAGTTATTGGAAAGCTATTATACATATTTGTAAGTTTCATTTTTGATATAAATTATTGATTTATTTGAAATGTTAATATTACATGAAATGTTTATTTTATAGGGACTGTATTTGTCATATTTATCTTGACTTTGGCTACAGGTTCATTTGTTTCACGAATAGTAAATTGTTTGGCAGAACTAGAACACTTGAATACTAAATATGATGGTCAATTATATGCAATTTTGAAAGTAACATTTGATTTCAATTTGACATCAATAATAATAATCGTTTTATGTTGTTGTTCAATTGCTGTAAGTTTTGAAGTATGATTTTTATTTTTCTGACTGATATTTCATATTCTATTTGACTTATGATAAATATTTTTTCAGAATCAATTTAAGAGTATCAATAATTACATAGAATATTTCAATTTATCGAATCTATTGATTTCAATAGCAGCAATAATTTTATGTTATAATGTGGATTTGGTATGATTTGTAGACAGTAATATTCACCAAAAAATATTAATTCAGTTTTATTAACAGTTTGGATCTAAATCAACTACTTTTCGTACCATTGATGCCTTAGGAGGTGTAGATTATGGAACCGGAATGGCATATAGTTATTTTTACGGATATTTGAGAATAATTCTACCTCCAGACGGTTTACAAAATCCAGGTGAATTGTTTTAAATAAATTTTTTATTCCATTAATTTTATTCATAAATTCATCCTTACTTCATACATATAAGAAATATTTTTAAAAATTACAATAAAAACAATGATTTTATTTCCACTTTAATCTTTATAGGAATTCGCACAAAAATGGTAGATTATGAATCTCATCATAATGTGAAAATTCCAGTGAAAAAACTTTTTATTTTAATTCCTAAATCCGGTCATATTCCACCAGATTTAAAAGATGCATCAGATAATTGGTTGGAGGGAACAACTGTACGTAATATATTTTGTAAAAAAGTTATATTGATAAGATAATCTACTTCATTTCATAGAGTCTTACAAATGTTATTCGAGATAGAGCTGGTATAAAACGACGCTCTTATAAAAATACTGTTTATAAAATACATCCTGAAGGTGAAGATAGTAATCATAGACCAGTTTATATAACAGTAGAAGGAGCTACACCTATGTTGACGTTGAATGAAATAATAAAACACTCTCATAAACAAACAGGTAAATTTAAAAAAGATGTTTGAAGTAATTACTAGCACATTAACAAATATCTTTTAGAAATTTATAGGCATAGTCACAAAGAAATTGTTGCAGTATTTTATAAAACTCTTCAAGAATTATTAAATAGTGATCCGGATTGTCGTGATGTTTGTGAGCTGATTTATTACGATGGTATTATATATAAAAAATTAGACCAGTAAAAAAATTATTTTCAATTATTAATGAATTTTTGTTGCAGATTATCCTAATAATGAAAAAATCAATATTGGTAAACTTCTATTATATAAAATTCGGAAAAAAGCACCAGCGAGTTATTAAATTATTCAAATTAAAATGACAAATTTAGTTTTTAAAAGAGCTCAATATTCGATTTTAATAACGCTTGTGGTAAATAATCATTATATTCATATTTACAATGGCTGAAGACAATAATTTAAAGAAGAAAAATAATTATAAATATCAAAATTACGCAATGACTAAAGAAAAACAACCAGCTTATTTTTAAGGTATGTAGGTAATTGATAAGTATTAAAAAAAATCCTCGAAAAGTATTTTTTTTCTATGTATTTGATATTTCTATAATAATTTCATCGTTTTTGTATTTACTCTTTTATAATGACTTGACACATGTGAAGAGTAAAATACTTTTAAAACATCAAAAAAATAATTATCTTTATTTTACGCATACTTATTTTCATTACCAAGTCATTGCAAAAATTTGATTAAATTTCTAAAGTGCATTAGAAAATAGAGTTTGTAGAATACTACCATTTATGAGTAAATAATTTAATTCTATTACTTATATTCATTTTTTTTTCTCTTGTTAACAAAATGGCACTAGAGATGTTTCTTAACGCTATAAAAATTCAATTGAATTTTTGAATTTCTAAAATTGATATGTGCGGAATTAATATTCATTTCAGGAATTATTACATTGAATGGTAAAATAAATTATTCGTTTTACCACAAATTAAAGATTTTAAAAAAATGATTAATTACAATTCATTACACGGTTGTATTTTATCCATATTTTTTGTTCTTTATTATGTTTATTATTCTTTTAGAACCGTTATTCTCAGTAAATATTCATATTGCATAAATAATGCAATCGAGTACATAAAGACAGTTGTACAAATTAATCATCAGAAAATTTTTACAGAATCATTTTTATTATTTCAATTGAAATGTTATTTTTGTATAACATTACGATTTTTTGGGATGTAGACACTAGTATTTAATTAAATTGTTATTTTTTTTTATCTTTTAATATTTTTCCAAATGACAAATAAGTTCAAAAGTACTTGTGTACTAAAATATTTAAGAAAAACATGTTACAATATTTACATTTTTAAATATTCGATCCATTTTTATGCTTTTATGAAACTTACAAAGATATTTTAATTGATGTTTTTAGGTTTATTTTAGTTTAAATGAAGATTATTACATAAATGAATGTAGTATTAGTGAATAGTATAACAAATTATGTTCTTCAAAATTATGCAAAATAATTCAAAGGTTTGAAAGGATTTATTAATTAATTTTTTTGTAATGACAAAAATGTAGAATCATAAATAATTTATATGCGATGAATAAAAGCAGTTTAATAATGAAAATAAATAAAGACAGATGAAGTATAAATTACAAATTATTATGCGTATCTCATATTTTTAAACAGATCCTTTATGTCACTCTTGTTATTATAATTATCATTATTAGTATTAATGTTATATTTTTCAGTTATCATTAAACATCACACAATTCAAATTGTACATAAAATTTATACAACATAATACGCACGGCCAATTTAAGACCATTTGCGTGTCCAGTCACTGGATGTGAGATCAACATTGTGGCAAAACAAGTAATCATTATGTCATTTTTGTTTAAAATCAAATGCACAAGACAATACATTTCTTGGCATTATTAGTTAGTGTTTTGTGTCATTATACTTAAATCTAATTTCATTCTGTTTAATCTTAAATAAGTACGCAATAAGACATTGGAAGAACATAGTTGATGAGTTTATAATGATCACAATTAAATTAGCTCAACAAGAAGCTCGCTTTTTATTTAAAAAAGTAAAAAAACGGAAGCATATTCTTTTTAAATGTTACTCTTCCGTAACCTGACTGTTTTTTCATATATTATTTGTGCTATATAATTGGCACACTTCAAAATAAAGAAGAGATATGAAAGAGAAACCAAAGAAAAAATAAAAGAAAATAAATTTAAGTACTCATTATACATAAAGTTCGTAAATGGCGAATTTTCATTTAATAATAAAATATTGGGTTAAAAATATCACACAACATACACAATCGTGCATATTTTTTATTCTTTTTGTCAACGTATCGTTCATCTTCGCATTCTGTAATACTTATGATCATACATATTGTTCTTATTTGTATAATCATTAAGTAAAGTATGACTAAAAAATAATAGGAAAATTGTATAATTTTAATCTTATCCGTCAGACTTGTATGAAAATTAAACCAAGGCAAATGTAAATGTCATCACTAGTACATTTTCGGTCAGGTACAATGTTCATAATCGCTTATTAATTTTTTACAATCAAATAAATATTCAAATAAAAATATTACATTTACAAAACCCCATTAAATGATTTATGTTTGCATTTTTATATTAATGCCAATTATAATATCTAAAAGTAATTTAACTATAAATAAAGTGTAACAACCTTATAAAACGTGACTGTGGCACGCAAATACCCTTGCATTTTCAATTCTTTAAACGAAACCAAAATATAAAAATTGAAATTTCATAGTAATTAAAATATTTATAACATTTCATCATATCACCGATATATAAATTATTTATAAATAATCTTTATTAATCAATTTTAAATAATTTGTATGTAAGCACAAAATTAATCATTAAACTAAAATGTCTAGTAAAAATAAATAATTTTAAAATATCAGATGATCGAATAGGTATTTTTTGTTTAGAAAAAAATATTAATCTCATAGAAAAAAATAATCAATAAATTACTGTAATACTCAATTTTGTATAACTCTTTGTGCTCAAAAAAACAATTTTCCAAATGACTAGTTAATCACTAAATATCCTGCTCCTTCTAAATAATAAATTCATCTAATTACAAAAAAAAAACACTTCAAAAAGAATGCAAGGATAATAAGATGAACTCAGGAAAGTTTTTAAATGCGCTGAAGAGTTGTGATGTGAATGATAACCCGAAGTCATCATTTAACTGATTGGATCTAATGAATTTCCATTTTAGCAGTTGTTTGAATAACTAGAATGGATTGACTGGAGTTTTTTGATGAATAAAAATTTATTGAAAATGTAAATAATATTAATTTTTTGACGACAGTACACTCCACATGATGGACTAGCTTGGGTTTATGACTTTAAAAGAAAAAAAAATTACTCACATCCATAAATTTAAGCTTTCATTTTTTCATCTTGTGTTTCTGTCGTCTGTTTTTCTGCAAATCCTACGTACTGTGTTAATTAGACGTTCTGAGAGATTCAAATAAACAATTTCAGGTTTTACAAATATTAATTTATCAATTAAAATTTTAAAGAATTCAAATTTAATCATTGTTAAATAGTTATTATTTAATAAAAAGATAATTGTCCCAAAAATAATAGTCTAATTAACACAACCATACTCAAATATTCTTTATTTGTCGATGATAATATTTATGTAAAAGGTGGTCTGTTCAACAATTTTATATAAAACTAATTCAACTAATAACTTACATCTTTTTAAATTTCGGAAAAATTATACGACTTAAAAACAATTCCAAATAATGCTTACATAGACGTTGAGTCCTGTACCATAATGAAAAAGGAATTAGAAAGTTATTTAAGCCTCAGTCGAAGCAATGAGCGAACCTTTAGGCGTATAAGCCGTTGCATTTGGATCAAGATTTGACACAGTACATCCTGGACACGGACTTTCAGTTCCACGCAGTTTCGAATTACCAACACGGACGTCGTTACTAAGTCGCAATATCGATGCAGTACAAGTCGGTACTGAACTAAACGTATCCTGCGGCATAACAGCTAAATCTTGCGCTATTTTAGCTTTTAAAATTTCAATCTCTTTCTCTTGCGATTTAATGAGATCTAAATAAATACGTAACTTTTATTAATTAATCTCATTATTAACATAATAAATTTTTTTCTATTTTATCATCGTACTTACTTTCTCTTATTTCAAGCAGTCGTTTTGCTTCTCCGAGTGCAGAAAACAAGTCAAGTTTTATTCTTGTTTCCGCACTTAAACTATTTTCCAAGTGAGAATTTTTTTCTTGAAGAACAGTCAATGCATTCAACAGAATTTCGGTTTCACCATGATTATCTTTACAGTGTGTTGTTTCTTTTTCCAGTGATAAACATCTATAGATACAAAAAAATCCATCAATTATAAATATAAGACCATGCAGTTAATATACTTATAGTTTATATTAATATGACATAATTCTTACTTTTCTTCTTTGTTTCTTATTTCGCGTCTTAAATTTTTAAGATCTTGCTCCATCTGTCCCCTTCGACTTTTACAGGCATCAGTGCATTCTTGCCTAATTAGTGGAGGTGGTGGAGGAATTGCCGATCTAGCATCCTCTGCTACACGTCGAGCTCGTCTTTCAGAAACTAATGAAGCTTCGCGCGCATTACGTTGTCGACGTTCTTCAGCAATTCGTCGCTCCAGCGAAGATATCATCTGCTTGTCCAATTGGCGAGCCGTAGTTAGTCCCTGGAGTTTAGTTTGTAATTGATCATTATCATGCTGTAGTTGCTGCATATCATCTTTTGTTTGTCGTTCTTCAGAAAGTAAAGTATTTATCTGTGAACGAAGCTCCTGTTCAGTTTGTCGGCTTGATTGTAAATCTGCTTTCAAACGTTTTATATCTGTCTCAAGTTTTCGACAGATAATTAATCTTTGACAATATTCATCCTGTTGTTTTTGTTCTAATGTATCAGAAAAATTTTTAGATTGTCGACCTTTTCGCTCTCGTTGACTATTTATCGTCGTCGAATCACGATTTTCTTTTACGTGATTCCATTTTCCAGCAGAACCATTCAAATGTGATTTTATTGAATTATGAGAATTTCCTTTAATAGGTTTCTCTTTCTCTACTTCATTACTATCAACATCATTTACTGAGTTGACTTTTTCAATAAAATGGGCATCATTATGATGAGATATAGTTGTTCCATTACTATGAGCAAACCTCTTATCATTTTTATCACCTTGCGATGAATTACTAGAATTATGCGAATTATGCTTATGTTCATCTTTATCACTTTTATCAAACGATCTTCTGTGATTATTTTTAGTGGTAACATTTTGTGCTTGTGACGCGTGTGCGTCATGTGGTATACCACCATTCTGTATATTAGTATCTGTAGGAACACCACTATTTCCTAGTAATGAATAATTACAGTTAAAAGTTTATAGTTGCAAATGCCATAAAAAATATTTTAAACAATCAGAAATAAATACAAACTACCTCTACTTTTTTCAGGGCTTGGATTGTGCTGTGTATTTGGCCTTTGTGGCTGTGATTTTGAATTCTCTGTCGTTACAAGCAGAGATTGTGATTGTGACTGAAGTTGTGAGGAAACAGCCTGTTGCTCCACAGGCAATGCTTGCTGCAACAATTGCAAGTAGAACTCATTCTCCTTTGCCACGTCTTTTTGCTTTCTCTGTAGCAAAAATTATCATGACATTTCTTCTTAATTAAGTAAACCCTAAACTCATGTTATCTTTACTTACTTGTCTCATTCTGTAACCTACGTAGCTTTTAAAACCAAAACCCAATGTTACTACAGGATAACCAATGCTGAAAAATAAAAATTTTATCGTCAAGGGTAAAAGAGACGTTAGGATCATTAATATATTTTTAAATATATACCAATGAGCCGCAAAAGGCCTACAAAGGTCCAAATGAAACGGCATGTGGCGTAGATCACGCAATCGTATGGCAGCTTCTATGTAAAGAAACAGTAGCCACAACATCACAGTTGGCAAGCACACTCCTTTATCTGTAATTTTGTAAAAATGAATTTTCTGTTATTTATATTTTATAACATGTACATTAAACATAAATATCTTGAAAGTTTTTATGACTAAAATTGAAACAGTTATATGTAATTGCTAAAATTAATGTATTAATCTTTCAGGCATGTTATTAATGTTGAACAACTTTTTTTATATACATTTTGTTATTTATCATAGGAATGATTTTAATATTTTAAGAAAGATATTACCTGTGTGCCACACATATTGCACCCAAACATATGTACTGGCAGCGAAGAATAACCAATGAACCGGAATAAAAAAGAAGCAAATCATATCGGATGTAAGAGCGATACAAATAAAAAATACTGAAAAGGCCTGTAAATGAGATTTAATTTTAATGTCATCATTAATTGTATATGCATCAGTTATTGCTCTGACCCAATATGAAAATTAAATACTAATGATGTTATAATTATCTATGATCCAAAAACGTTAAAAAATGTTGCTGGTTAAATGTTGGCTGCGAATAGATAAGATTTACAGTTGGGTCAGCCAATGACTTTAGAAGAAAGGTCTATTAAAAGATCAACTTACCAAGCCTTGGTATTTAAAAGAATCGTAAACACTCCTGAGTAGTAGCCAGAATGGCCACAAAAATTCAAATCGAAACTCTAAAATAAAGTCTGCAAAAATCACCATGGCCCATAGTAGCAGAAACTTTAAGTAAAGTAACGTACTGAAAATGGTAAAAAAAATTAATTTCATCAACTTTCACTCACACATTTTTTGGCTAACAATTGAGTACTAATAATATTGAGTTGAATGTTTGTTACGTTAAACATATGAATAATAATGAATAATAATCAATAAATTATAATCTGCTCCAACATTCAATTGTTAAAAAAGAGCCAAACATGTAATGTAAAAGTCAGGTTATGGAATTTTTGAAGGTTTTTTCAAAGCAAATATAATAAGGATGTAAAGAACAAATATTTGTATAAATATAATTATTTGCTTAATTATTAAAAGTAATTGAAAAAAGATAGATATGTCAAAAGTACAAATGTGTGCATAAGGATTAAAATTGAGATAAGAAAATTTCAGGTGGTCAGGTTACGTGAAAGTACATGATGAATATCGTTAGGCTAGATAAGAATTATTATATACTGTGAAAGTAAAGAATGCTAAAACTTTTGAATGACATGAAGGATTTAAACTTATCCACATGGTGCATCAGAGAAATTTTGTGGTTATTTTAAGCAACGGCCATTATCATTTACACATATGGCAAACCTAAAAATATGTAATACCTTCCGTAGATTCCTTCGGTGATTTTGTTACGTTTTAAGGGCCTCCGGAGCTTGCCACACTCGGCATTTCTTCTCTTCATATTCCTCGGCACTTTACACACTACCAGCACGACGTTCTATCACAACGGCGGCGGTTAACAAAACATACAAAGAGGAAACAATTTTTAAAAAAATAATTTCATGTATAAACTTTACCACTAAATACACACGATGTATTCGATATTCTTCTTCTCTTTCTTTTATTTCTCTCTTTTTCTATCTGAGTCTCTATCTTTCTTTCTTGTTCTCACGACACTATCAATCTCTTTTGTTGTCATTCGTCTGTGGACAGATTCGAGGTCTTACGGCGAATCACCAAGCAGCTGATTGGTCCATCGCGAGACATGGCGCTAATCAACCTTTAATGATACTCTCGCTATTTCGCCTATTTTGTGTATTTTATATACAAATAGCCACTATCACTATCAATATTTATTTCATTTGTTTCTTTCTATTGAAACTCTTTGATTTATTTCATTATGATATTCACACATGTGTTAAACTTTTTCAAATTTATTTGAACTCGGCACAAGATACTTTCTCATCATAATCATTCATGTTTTCGAGTTTTATCGATCGTCTATATGCCCCTCGTTTATTCGCATCAGTTTTGTTGTCTTGACGGCTCTCTTCTCCCTCTCTTTCGCTCCCAACTGTACTAGAGGCTTTAGCGCCTGTGCACCCTTTCAATGCATTACACTTGCGTTGTAAGTGCATTCTTTATCTGTACTATCTTCAATCTATGTTTTTATCTACTTTCAATATGTTTCTGGTGTATAATTTCTTAGATTTTCCATGTTTTATTTAGATTTTAATTAAAAAAAATTTTGATAAATATTTTTGTTAATTAACAACTGTAAATTTCATTTCATCAATTTTGAATTATCAAAACTTCCCGCCTAAACTAATGTAGAGATAATCGGGTTTGATTGGCTTTTGTCGGCTGCTTTTGATCTTTGCAGCTGTTTAACTCATATATTTAATACTTGAGAGTATTAAATATATGGTTTAACTTCTCTACACCTCCAAGTAGAACAAGTCTTTCATTTATGAATCTATAATGACAACGATTTACAGTTGACTGTATGATCGTTGAAAATAGTGACCGAAAAGATGACGCTGTAGCCGCAGCGTAATAACAAGATATACATGTATAATCCCCTTTTTTAAAATTAAAAAACCGATTCATAAATAGAAATTAGATATAAAATTAAAGTAAGATTATAAACATCAATATTTTACAAAAAAAAGTCTTTCATATATTTTGAGGACATTATTATGATAAAATTCTTTTTTATCAAAAGTACATAAATATTTATGTCCAAGAATGTTCGCGGTATAATGAAATACGTCGCGAATGATGATATAGGATACATATGCATAATATTTTATGAAACTATAAAATATGAACACACTTTATAATCACATTTTAGTCGATCTTCATCACATATCCATTTCGAACTGTTCCGAAGTTTCTTCAATAATTGTAATATCTATAAAAAATGAAAAAATATTTATTTATAAAAAAGATAATATCAAAAATTGCATCTCTTTAAAGTCAAATAATAAACCTTTGGTTGATTGTTTGCCAGCAGTTCCATTTGTAGCTATTATTGTGGAAGCATTTTTGAGTAAATCTGTTGGAAAGGATGGCATATTTTTAGGTGGAGTCAGTGAAATTGGAGAATTTCTTAAATTCATTAAAAATGCACGTTCATACACGATTCTTGTACCTGAAAATCAAAATAATTTATTAATTCATCTGTATAAATATCAATCATAAAAATAACTTAAATTTTACAATTATCTCGCGAATTATATTACATATTAGTCTGAATTTCAATGAAATTGAATCAAATTTGTATATATCAATCAATTTAAAAATTTTTACTATCCATAGTTACCTCAATTTTTTAAAACAATAAATTTGTTGTATCATAAATATTTATAATTTTTAATATCAATTCCATAAGCTGTAAATATTGAAATGTCAATGATACGAAAAACAAAATGATACAGAAATAAAAAACAAAAAAGCTTGTACACAGATTCTTCAGATAACAAATTAAACAATTCGTTACTCACGTTTGTTATTCATAACTATTACTGATAAATAATTATTTATATGTCATTGATTAAATTAGATTGATAAGTATATAATCGAGGTAATGAAAAAATATGTATTATGCCAATGTCACCCGTTGTTTTGATCAGCTCAACAATTAAACGTTTTCACTAGTTGAAGGCCAACATTTATGAACATATTTACCTAGTTGCCACTATTTTTTTATGCCTACGATACTACCGAACAGAGTAAGAAAAAATACATGACCAAAGGTTAGTTATATTATGCAAGGGAGCAGCATAAGAAACTACGTAAACAAACGTAGTAATTATTTATAGTCTCAATATATACATTATATTTTTTCTAAAGTTTTTTTTACAGATAACAAAATTAATGAATCATAAATAACGATAACTTTTAATAATGGTTCTCCAGAGAAAAGAAGTCTTTTAATGAATATAATAACAATAATTTGTAATTACTAATAAAAATAGAAAAAATGATAAGTTTATAACTAAAAAATTATAAAATAAGCACAAAGAATTTTTTAATTTATTTCTCGAAAAAAAAACATTTCTCGATATTGCGAATGCTGAAATTATGCTCCATTGTTAATACACATCCATTATCAATTGAAGATAGTACGATGTAAATTATTTAATGATAAAATAAATTTAGAAAATATGGATTTTTTGTTTCCTTAAAAAAGAATTTATTAAAAAAGTTTCAATACAGAAGTTGATTTCCATTGTTCGAATATGTTATCAAATTAATACTAATTCAATCAATGTCTTATTAAAAAAAATACATTTTTTCTTTGTTTTAAAATTAAAATGAGCCGTAATAGTAAAAGCATTCACACAATAAAACAAAAATTTATGAAAAATGAAATAATTACTAACCTCCAGGTGTTGTAGAATACAAAGTACCACCAGGGGTAGATGAATAATCTACTGGTAATTGATTTGGATCATGAATAACAACCCTTTTAGATGGTATGTTTTGACTTTGAGTGACTTGACGTGCAATTGGTGATGCTGACATTTTATAAAGGTAATTAATTCGATTTCTTAAATTATGAAAATAGTTAACACCTAAAAAAACAAAAGAATAATGAATGAAAACTTATATAATTGTTGACAATTTATCAAAAACTGACAAAATTGAAATTGTACTTGAACAGAAAATAGGAGTAGAGTAGATGAAAATGAAACTGATGAAACAATTCTACTGCCAATGACTCAAAAGAGAGGGAGAGAAAAAAATGAAGATAAAACAGAAGAGTAAAAGATGGGAAAGTGGAGGGGAAAAGAACCAGACGTTTCTGATATTGTATGAGAGTTGCTGCGTAATTTTATGTGGGCGCAGACGTGACAAAACTTGTAACATACCCAAAAATCACTATTTTACAGCTGAAAACTATTCTAATCTTCAAAAGTAACTTTGTAATAGTTGTTTTTATAATTATGAGTGTTTCATTATTAATTTATAAGTACACTTTTGATCATTTCAATAGACAGAAATAAAAAAGACTTGAATTTTTTTTATTAAGTGAAGTGTTGTATCTTGTTTTAAAGGTATAACGTACGTACTGCCAACAATTTGATTAGCACAAGAGCATTTATATAGACATCAGGGGAAGTGTAAAAACAAAGGGTGGGGTTCAAAAAAAGCCAACACACCTCATGCTCATATTTATTTATCAGTCTATTAAAATTTTTTGCCGTTAATCTGAGAAAAATATTTATTTTAACAAATCTGTAATAATATTTAATTATGATTCATACTAAAATCTCTTATTAATCACTTATGAAGCTATAAAAATTTACATTTTTATCTATTCCAAAAAGTGCAAAAGTGTTCCGATAAAAACTTTAATATATTTATCTACATATACTATAAATATTGTTGACATACATCAATATCTTTGTTTTATCACATAAATGTCAAATTAAATAACCCACGTGGTTAACTACTTCTCATTGTTTAATTATATTTACAAAATTCTTTATTCTTTAGATGATTCAAATTTTATAACAAAATATTTACATTCAATTCAAGTTTTTGACGAAGTATTTTTTAATTCCTTCGTAAGTTATTGATTAATTATTATGTTTTGCAATTTTTACTATTTTTATTTGTAAACAATTTTTGTTATCGCTATATTTCTTATCGTGTTTATAGTTATGTAACTCTAAAAGATTATAAAACCACGTGCTTTTTGTGACGATTCAAAATTCATCACAAATAAGTTGTACTTTCTTATTTTTTCCATTTAATATTTCAATAAAATTTTGGTTCAATCATTACATTTTTACTTTTATAGGAGACAGTTAAAAGATTTGTTACAATAACAAAGGTAAAAAGTGGAAAAAATTTTTCCAATCAAAAATATATCTACTTAACCTATATTGATATTTTCTCCGTGCTTTATTATTTTTAATATTTTTCAGATGACTGATCTTACTGAAATTTCAAATAATAAATGTTTTGGAGGATGGCAGAAAGTGTTTTCTCATGAAAGGTACTAATAATCATAGTAACAATAATAATTTTAATTATGGTTAAAATGTTAATTGATCAGCAAAAAAGGTTAATTTCAGTTTGGAATTAAAATGCAAAATGAATTTTGGAGTATATTTACCGCCTCAAGCAGAAATAGAAAAAGTGCCAGTTATTTACTGGTTGTCAGGATTGACTTGTACTGAAATGAACTTCATTCAAAAAGCTGGTGCTCAAAAACATGCTGCAAAACATGGAGTTATTCTAGTTATTCCTGATACAAGTCCTCGAGGTGATGACATTCCTGATGATCCTGCATATGACTTTGGAAAAGGAGCAGGTTTTTTCGTTGATGCTATTCAAGAACCATGGAAAAAAAATTTCCGAATGTATAGTTACATTACCAAAGAATTACCAGAAATAATAAATAAGAATTTTCCAATTTTGGATGACAAACAATCTATAATGGGACACAGGTAGTTTTTATGTAAAAATATATTTCTAGAATTTTTCAAATATTTTAAAGTATCATAATTAATTTTCATCAGTATGGGAGGACATGGAGCGCTTATTTGTGCATTAAAAAATCCTGGAATGTATAAAACTGTCTCTGCGTTTGCACCAATTAGTAATCCGATTGAATGTGATTGGGGGAAAAAGGCATTTTCTGGTTATTTAGGAGATAGTGACGAAGATAAAAAGCTATGGAATGAATATGATGCAACTTGTCTAACTCAAAAATACTCGGGACCACCTTTACATATTTTAATTGACCAAGGAAAAGAGGACAACTTTTTACATCAACTAATGCCGAATAATTTACTAAATGCTTCTAAAAACTCTGGTTTAACATTAATAATGAGATACCAAGAAGGATACGATCACAGTTATTTCTTTGTATCAACATTTATCAAAGATCACATTGAGCATCATATGAAGTATCTAAAAATTTGAATTAAAAGTTTTCTTCTAACAATGAATACTTTTATATTACTTTTATTGATTTAAAATACGTAATTGATAAATAAAAAGTAAATATTTTTTATTTCAAAATTAGAATCAACATTTAATTATATTAATTATCACGATTGCCAATACGAAATAATATTGGTCAGAATTAATATATTAGTTGTCTTTTGTAGCCGTAGTTATGAAAGACAGATAATTGAAATCCTGACTTATGTTATTTCTTATTTTTATAGTTTAAGATTTTTAAAAATATCGTAAAAATTATTTCAGTTACCAACCAATGATTATGACCGAGGTGGTTCACGAATACTATGCCAAAAATTCAAAAATGGTTCACGTTTTTGCCATAAATTTCGATTTCCCCACTTTTGCCAAAATCTATAAAATAATCAAATGAGTATTTTCATATAAAATGATTAAAATTTTAAATAGATCATTGATCAACGTACAATCCCCAAAAAGCTCCACCTAAATGAGCTGCATGATCAAATATGCTCCATTTAAATAAACAGCCCATAATGTCGAACATGGCGAGACCTTTGATTCCCTAAAAATATATTATTCCAATTAAAATATTAACTTTTAATATCTAAATGTACTATGGATTACAAGTAAATACTCAAGTATCAAATATTACTTACATAAATAGCTTTAAAATTAAGCATTGGAAGAAAAGCTATACTAAGTCGAATGTCAGGATATTGAAGACAAATAAAACTAACCACTCCCATTATCGAGCCTGACTGGAAATAAAAAAATATTACGATTCTAGATTTATGAATATAAAATATATGGATTCAATTTTTTGTTTCTTACTGCACCAAGAGACAATCCTGGCCGTTTTGTAACTGTTTTATAAACTTGACTAAAGAAACTAGCAGTCATTCCACTAGTTAAATAAAGTGCTACAAATTGTTCTCTACCAAGAGTAGATACAGCTGCTGTACAAAAACTTTGTAATACATACATATTAACACTTAGATGTATTATTGAGATATGAGAAAACGTTGAGAAAAGCATAGGCCAACACAGATTACCTTTAATTAAAATCAAATTTCATAGTAATAGTATTTATAATTAATTTATACTATTATTTCTTTCAACTCTTAATTAACTTTCATCACTTACGACAAGCAGGGTTTGCACAAAAATAACGAATCATTGTGGTGTTAAGCACAGGGATTCTCCAAGCAAGAAATACCAGAATATTTAAAAAACAAATTGGTGCAAATACTCGCTGACCTTCGGTGAGATTTTGCCACCATTTTTCTAATTCTCCTCTCCATCCTATTTTCTGAAAATTAATTCATATTTGATCATCGTATATATTAAATAATATTATGGTTTCGTTTTTACGTACATTAATTCGTAATTGTTGATATCGATTGATCAGTTTATAAGTATGATCTCGAATTCGTTCATATTCCCAAATAGCAGCTCCGATATGAGCAGCACTTCCAATCTGAATAAATTTATAACAAAATACAAAAATATTCACCTATGTTTACAGGTAATTTATACAATTCTATATTTAAACTTTATAATTTTACTATTATAGTAAATCCAAAAGGTTTCCATAACCTTCGAACTGATGGAACCATTTCATTAATTACTAAACTGGAAATATTAGATTCTGCTTGATTAGAAGTATCCTTTAATCTTTTGAATCCTCTGCAGTTTTTCGGAGAATTAACAACATTTGTAAATGTCTTATAACAATTGATATTTTTTAACAGACTGAAATAGTTTACATATGAATATTGATAAACTTAAAAAATAATACATTTAAATATAATGAAACAATTTTATAATACATTTGATGAGAAAAAATATAATAAATACACAAAAATAAGGTTACCATCTTTCTGGACCAAAATTCAAATGAAATAATGTTCTAAATGCCATTGTGAATTATTTTAATAATCATAAAAATAAGTATTTTTCATGACATAGAAATTGATTACTTGGAGCTCATAAATTTGTAAATATTTATTTATATAATGTCCTATGACGTATTTTCAAACGCAAGTGTTTACTTGAAACCGAGAAAGAATATCATGTAATCCAACTATACCGAAAGAGTAGTCATACTGTTATGCTTGTTTTGAACCTAATAAGCTGTAATATCGTACTGAGTCACACTATTGCCCTCTTTTCAGTTAATGCAATAATTAATTACCTTACTAAAAGGAATAAAGAGTTCTAATTTTTACATTTGCAATACCAATATTATTATTCAAAAAATACTGGACAGTTAAATTAAAAATACATGAACTGTTTATCATCCATTATATGTATGCTTATCATAAATAGTAATAAGACTCAATACTTATAAACTGAGATAGATTTGTTTAGCTTAGTATAAGTAGTTTTCCTCCATCAACACCTTAAATAAAAAATAATGAATAATGATAAGTTTCTGAATCATAAAGAGAACTAAGCGTGAGAGTTGAATTATAATGAGTGGGGATGCAAAAATGCTGAAACTCTCTCTACGAAGAAACAAAGGAGATGTATTTGGACGAACAAATCGACTTCAGTCGTCAAATAGAGCACACAACTTAAAACTCAAACTTCTTGTTACAATTATTTTATTATCACCTTTTCATTCTTATCCTTTGAAAATTTCCCGCATCTTGAATCGATGCTTCAGCGTCGCTTGGTGGCGAAATGAACAACAGGACGCAACAAAGCAAATCCCAACACTAACTATACCAACAATGTACGTATACACATAATATACGTATATATTAATGCCTGTTTCTAATGAACGTCGAGAAACAAGTACATAGTATATACATATGTATGTGTCAAGATTAATACAGAGAAGACTTCTCTTCATTTTTTTATCATTTAACAAAAATTTTCCTCTAATTTTACAATTGATAAATATTAGTTTAAATCATAAAATAACATTTTACTTCTGCATCAATTACATAAAATTTTTAAAATAGTAGTATCATTTACCAACAGTTGATGCGGTGCAGTGTGTTTTCTCTTTCTACATGTGTATCAAGAATTCTTTTCTCTGTAAAATATATCAATTATGGCATCAATAGTGATGATTTTGGAAGTAATAATCCCCGTTATAAGTTGTTTTGCTTTGTAAGCATCTTAAAGTGTTCAAGTTAATCATGTGGATGGTAAGAAAAATGTGAATTTTAATAAAATGTGCATACTTTGTTTATAAACTGTTCAGTGATTAAGTTTTTTGGTATTTACTCTACAATTGTGAAGGTTGTTTCAAGGGTTATGATTAATAAATGTCAAAAAATGAATTGAAAAATAATTCGTACGAATATAGCTATTTTCAAAAATGTGTTTAGAAACAAAATTATTTGACTAATATAAAATTATTATCAATAAAACATTGAAAGTATAATTCATCAACTAGCTACAATATGAATTAATTGTTTTCAGACTTACCAAACGTTGCAAGAGACTTGACATACATCCTTGGGCTTCCTGGTGATATCTACATAACATCTAAACAATGATGGGTATATTGTACGAAAAAAGGCCCTTAAAAAAGCCTAGACTTGGTCCACCAGATGTTTATCCCCAGGAACCAAAACAAAAAGAAGATGAGTTAACATCTATAAATGTAAAACATGGCTTTGCAACTATGCCTCAACTTTCTGATGAATTTGGAACAGCACGACACTGCAATGTTACTGCTGCTAAAGTTGGTTCATATTTCAATGCTATTCTCGCCAAAAAAGAAGAGCTGGCTACAATGCCAGACACAGGAAGAAAACGACAACAAATTAATACAAAAGACGGTTTCATTCCTGTTACTGCAAGAACAAAGACTGGTATTGAAGCTTGGTTCAAAGATCTTTCTGGTTGCAGTAAACCTCTGATACAACTAGCCAAACGTGCTCCAAATTTTAATAAAAAAGAAGAAATATTTATGATGCTTTCTGAATATCAAGTTCCAATGTTAAGGGCTGCTTGGTTTATAAAATTGAGTTCTGCATATACAGTCGCAGTTTCGGAAGCTAAAATAAAAAAGAGACAACTGCCAGATCCTACCACAGGTAAGAATTTCAATAGAGGTAATTAGTCAATTTTATTTTTATTGTATATATTTTTTAATTAATAGTTTGTCGATACTTTTTTTGTAGAATGGACAGGAACTCTGATTAAGTTCTTAAGAGATCAGTTATCGAAAATTCAAGATTATTATACATTAGGCAATCAAATAAATATAAGTAATCACACATCAAGTATCAATGGAACTTGTAATTCTTCTAATGTCAATACCAATCCAAGTATCATAAACATTAGTAACAGTACAAGCAATGGCATAAATTCCTTATCATCCTCAACACCAAATTCAAACTCAATTACCACTTTAATGACGGAAGAACAAAAAATAGCATTGAAACAGTGGCACTATTGTATTCAGTTAGCAAAATATATGTTTGAAGAAGGACTATTAGATCGTCAAGAGTTACTTCAATGGATACTAGATTTATTAGATAAACTTCGAACAAATCCTTCTGATGATGGAATTTTGAAATTACTCCTTCCTTTAGTTCTTCAATATTTAGAAGAATTTGTTCAGTCAGAATTATTAGCTCGAAAATTGGCATATCTCTGCTGTAAAAAATTAGCACATATGTTAAGTAACGTTGATACTAATATTATTTCTCAAAATCCTTCAATATTGCCTCCAATTAGAACTGAAATTAATGGAACTAAAGAACCAACAGCTCCTCAACCAATTCCAAATGCTTTAACGACAGCATTCAATGATTATTTAAGCTGTCCACATCATCGGGACGTAATTTATGGATTATCGGTAATAATTCAAGTGATAACTCTTGAATGTCCAACTGCACTTGTTTGGAACAGTGTTGGAGAAGGGAAAGCGCCTTCAGTATTGAATGGATCTCCATTGGATTATCTTTCATGTCCTCCAGCAGCTCTACCTTGTCCACCAGCGAGTGCGGCTAGTCCTACAATGAATCAGTTGAAAATTGCCCAAGAAAATATTCGTGCTCGTTCGCAAGCTGCTGAAGGCCGTTGGTCCTGTGATAAATGGCAGCAAAGTAGTGCTGGCATGACTACTACTAAAGTTTTAAGCGCTTTAGATGCTCTTGATCGTCATAATTTCGGTAAAATGGATGGAGCAAATTCTTTGGATACTCTTTATGTTAAAATATTTACTCCATCTTCTAAAGAAACTACGAGTGAGAGAGAAACATCGAAAACTGAATATACACCTCAACAAGATTCTGCAGTAGTAGATATTTTGTGTCAATGGGCAGTCAGTGCTGAAAGATGGGGTGAACATCGGGCTATGGCAGTTGCTAAACTTTTGGAAAAAAGGCAAGCTGAAGTTACTGGAGAAAACAATGATAACGATGATAAAGACAGTGTTTGTAGTAATGGAATTCCTCCTAGCCTTCCAATATTCCAACCTCTTTTGATGAAATTTCTTGATACTGATGCACCTATTCAAGATAATTCAACATCACAAACTAAAGCTCAATTTACTAATCTCGTTCATTTATTTTCTGAGCTCATCAGACATGATGTTTTTTCTCATGATGCGTATATGTGTACATTAATTTCTCGTGGGGATTTAATTCAAGGCCCAGCTGCAAGTAAGCCAGGAACTCCAAGTAACAGAGAACCAATTGATGAAGATAGTTTATTTCCAGGAATTGATTTAAAACCTGCTAAACTAGAACCGGATCATGGAAGAGGTATGGACTATGATGATAGCAAGATCGATGACGATTTGGATAAATTATTACAGCACATTAAAGAAGATCAACAGAATAGTATGGATGCTCCCGATAGTCCGAAAGATGATGCTCTTGGAGGTCATGGACATGAAACATTAGAATCTAGAGCTCCAACCAGTCCTAGTAGACATCTTTTATATACCACACATTTTCCTCTTCCACAAGATGAAGCTTGCAGTCAACATGATTGTAATCAACGACATGTTTTACTTTATGGAGTCGGAAAAGTTCGAGATGAAGCTCGACATGTTGTTAAAAAAATGACTAAAGAAATATGTAAATTATTTGGAAAAAAATTTAGTATTGACGTAGCTGAGGGTGGTAAAGTAAAAAAACATTCAAGAAATGAATTTAATTTTGAAGCCGTTACACAAAAATTTCAAAATCTTAGTTATTTTGATCAACATGTTGTAACATGGCAATGTGCTACACAAGTAATTGAAATGTTAAATTCATTTGCGCTTTCTGGATCATCTTATTTACCAGTTCAAGAACATGTAGCTTTTCTTTTTGATTTGATGGAACTTGCACTGAATATTTATGGACTTATCGATGTGTGTATTCAAATTTTAAAAGAACTTCCGGAAGTAGAGACACAATTAGCTACAAGGAACAGTCAATTAGTAAGAAGTTATACTACAAGTTTAAGTTTATATGTTGTGGGTGTTCTTCGAAGATATCATTATTGTCTTCTTCTTTCACCAGAACAAACAATAGCAGTTTTTGATCTTCTATGTAAAGTTGTAAAGCATGTCTCTAATCCAAGTGATTGTAGTTCGGCGGAACGATGCATTTTAGCATATTTATATGATTTATACACTTCGTGTTCTCTTTTAAAGACTAAACCTCATGGAGTAGAAGCTTTCAGTAATGCTTATCCAAAAATAAGAGCTGCTTTATATACATCTGTGCAGCCAACGCCATCAAATCATAGTTACAATCCTCAATTTATGATTGATGTTTTTAATAGTCCACGAAGAGGAGGAAAGATTGAACCACAATGGGCACGATCTCTTAACGAAAATCCAGCAAATCGATACAGTTTTGTTTGCAATGCAATTGTGGCAGTTTGCAGTGAATCCGACAATGATAAACTCAATGACATAGCTATTACATGTGCAGAACTTACTGCTTGTTGTAATGCCCTTAGTGCTGAATGGTTAGGAGTTTTAACAGCTTTATGCTGTTCATCAAATAGTTCTCCTTATTATGTTGATGTTTTAAATAAAGTTGATGTTCAAGATTTGAGTATTCACAATTCACTTGCTGTTTTCACGTCAATATTGATTGCAAGACATTGTTTCTCTCTTGAAGATTTTGTTGTGCACATTGCATTACCATCACTAGTGAAAGCCTGTAATGAAGGTAGAGGTGATGCAGATACTGATGCAGAATCTCGAGGAAGATTAACTTGTCATTTATTACTACGACTTTTCAAAACTGTTGAATGCCCTCAACCAGCTTTGTACTCTGTTAGTACTAGCCCTCATCCACTTCCTACTGGCAATCCTCGAGGATATAACATCAAACTCAGTTGTGATCGTCATCTTTTAGCAGCTGCTCATAATAATATTCCTGTAGGACCTGTTTTGGCAGTGTTAAAGGCAATATTAGTTGTTGGAGATGCTACAGCTGGTAAACAACCACCAAAAAAACCAGATATTCCAATGGTACATTCAGGAAAAGGTAGTGGACCTGCGAGTGTTGGTGGAAGTGCGAGTGAATTATCTATTAGTCATATTCTTGGCACTAGTGATATTCTTGGTAGCAATGATGATTTAGGATTAGATTTAGCCATGTCTTCATCAAGTAGCAGTGCAGGAATGGGTACTGAAAATGTTAAAGGGCTTTCAGATTTTGCTCAACATGTTTTAAGACAAATTTGTAGTCAAGAATGGGTTTTAGAAAGATGCTTACAAAATCCTGAAGAATTATGTCATCCTGAAATGTTATTAGACAGTATGTTAACTCCAAGACAAGCCCAAAGACTACTTCACATGATTTGTTATCCAGATACACCTTTAGACGCTTTCCATGATCAGCGAACACACATTACTAATATTTTAGAAAACCTTGAACAATGGAGTTTGAGAATGTCTTGGCTCGATCTTCAATTGATGTATAAACAATTTACTCCTGGATCAAGTGATTTGTCTCAATGGCTTGATATGGTTGCAAAAGCCGCTATTGACGTATTCCAATTGAATACTTTAACACATAAATCAGATAAAAAATCTGGATCAATTTGGCTTGTAGCACCATTAGTTTCAAAATTACCAAGTGCTGTACAAGGACGAGTTTTGAAAGTTGCTGGACAAGTGCTTGAATCAGGCAACTGGTCCAAAACTGCTGGGCGTGAAAGAGGAAGACTTAAATCACCGTCATTATTTAATCATCAACCTTTTCTATCTTTAGTACTCACATGTCTTAAAGGTCAAGATGACCAAAGAGAAGGTTTATTAACTTCATTACATTCACAATTATCCCAATTTTTAAATACTAGTAAAGAAGAAAAAGATATTGCTTCGGAAGATCCGAAAACTAGGGAAGTACTACAAGATGCTCTTCAATTGAGATTCAGTCTTGTTGGTGGCGTTTTCGATACAATTCAAAGAAACACAACAGTAACAACAGATTGGGCAATTTTATTAGTTCAGTTAGTGAGCTATGGAGTTATAGATTTAAATAATAATTCTGAATTATTTACTATTGTTATAGACATGTTAGCAACACTCATACATTCCACCTTAGTGTCAGATTCTCAATCAGAAAAAGATGAGAATAGAAAACATTATCAAAATTTGATGAAAAAATTAAAGAAAGAGCTTGGCGACAGAAATTCTCCAAGTATTCAATATGTGAGACAACTGTTACCTTTACCTAAGCTTACGATGGAAGTGATAACTTGTGAACCAGTTGGATGTTTAACAGACACTAAAGGTAATAAAATAGCAGGTTTTGATAGCATTGATAAAAAACAAGGTATGCAAGTTTGTGATTCTCAACGAGTATCAGCTTGGGAATTACTTGAAGGTCATAAAAATCCAGCGCCATTATCGTGGGCTTGGTTCCGAGCAGTAAAAATGGAAAGAAAACCTTTGACTTATCAAAATGCTCATAAATTAATTAAGTATCATACTCATTGTCAGTTGAGACCTGCAAGTTATTATTTAGAACCACCACCATTGCCTCCAGAAGACTTGGAACCAGATAAAAAAGAAATTGAAACTGGAAAAGCTGATACTCCAATGAGTGTTGACTCCCCAAGTAGATTAGGTCCTGGAAGTGTTGGTCCTGGTTTAAATATTGGTACTGGAAAGGGTAAAGCAATGAAGGCGCCTAGACAAAGACACAGGAGAAATAAAAGCGGTGCTGCTACTCCTACTGCTCCTGTTCCTCAACCGATGCAACCGGGACAAGCAAATATACCCCCAATGCAACAAATGGCTTATGGTAATCAACAACCACAAGTACCTCAACAATCTGGAATGTTTCCTGGGCAAGCACCTCAACCTCAACAACAATGGTATCCGAATCAACAGGGTCCTGCACCGCCTCAACAATATGGATATGGTCAACAATTACCTCCAACTCAAGTTAGTGGACCCAGATATGAACGTCCAGGAATCAATAATCAATCAAAACAAGCTCTCTCTAATATGTTGAGAATGAGACTACCTTCAAATCAATTTATGGGCAATCAACAACAACCGACTGCTTCAGTTGCTGGTCCTGGAGCATTCCAAGGAATACAAAGGCAACAATTCATACGTCAACAATTACGAGCTCAACATGGTGGGCCAGGAATGAATCCACAGCAAGGAATTTTTGCACCTCAACAACAACAAAGTATGTATGCAGGAATGCAACAAGGAATGAATCAAAATTACGCTGGATATGGAGGTCAACAACTGATTTCTCAACAACAACAACAGGCTCAACAGCAACAAACTCAACAACAACAAGCACAACAGCAGCAACAACAGCAAATGCTTCAACAACAAGCTCAACAACAAGTTCAACAGCAAGGTTTAATGAGTCAACAACAGAATTTAATGTTCCAAAATCAGCAGCAGATTATAGGAGCACAGAGAGGACAACAAGATTATATGCAACAGCAAAGAATGCAAGCGGGTGCCGGACCAAGACCAGCTTATCTTCAAGCCCCAAATGTTACAATGAATACTATGGGTCCAATGGCTGGTGGAGTTCAAAATCAACCTGCTCCACCATATAGACAAACTGCAGGAAAGCCTACTGCTGTAGGAGTAAGTGCTGGAGGTGTAGGATTACAAACAAATCAACAATTTCAACAAGTAAGATATTTAATTAATTATCATTGTATAAATTTACTTTCTAGACTAGAATAAAATATATGAATATAATGTTATCGTGAACAATTATTTATGATCGTATTACGTTGGAATATTTTAGGCCATGAATCAGCAACGTATGCGTCAACAAATGTTGGCAATGCAGCAGCAACAAGTTCAACAGCAAGCACAACAAGTTCAGCAACAACAAACTGGCAACAATGGTCAACAACCTACGCCTCAATTAGTTGCTCATCTTCAAAGGCATCTTGGTCAACCATCCCAGCATCCTTATCCACATCAACCACCGCCGTATTGATATATGAGCATGATTAGGTATTATTTATACGGCATTTATATGAAAACATTTATGATATTGTTTTCTACCCTTCCATTTTTAGGTAATGTAAAATATGAATATGTAGATTTAATTTATTGGCAATATGCATATGATTTATGTAGAATATTCACAAACAATATATAAATATAAAACAAGAAGATATCGTAGAAACACGATACAATTTTATAACTATAACATTCTTATGATAAGTAATTGATTGATCAATTGATTGATAATTAGTCTGTACATTTCGTGATTATTATACAACAATGATAGTTTTAAGTGGATTAAGTAAATGTTTATTGTTCCACAAATCGTCTTTTAATTGTAATTCAAAGTAAAATATAAAAAGAAAAAGATTTCTAGGATGTACTTGGCAACAGGCCTTATTTAATATTTTTACAACGATCATGTAAGAAAAATATAATATAAATAATCATGTGAAGAATCACGGTAATTTATTGGCCTGCATAATACTGCAGCATAAGTTTATCAACTGTATATATTCACTGCCACCTTCTAATAACCTGTAGGAACACTCCTAAAAATTGATACGTCATTAAAAATTGTTTTCATCCATCAGGAATTTACTACAAAAAATTAATTTTTTTTTAAATCTCATAGTTAAGCGATTTACTATCTATGAGAAAATATTTAAATTTATTGATTACATTAGTCGACTAGTAAATTAATTTTAGCCTAAAAATTTTTATTATTTTCTCATAGAGTTTAATTACTAAAAATGTACAAAGAATTACTGGTATAATTTAGATTTACTGGTAACTTACTCCGAGTTTTTCTCCGATATAAGCTTTTTGTTTATCTGTTAAATCATCTGACATTACGATTCTATGACTTAGTTGTTCTATTATTTGAGAAGTTGCATAAGCCTCCAGTAAAAAATCATCTACAAATTCCTCCACTTTACTAAAATCTTTTCCCTGACCTACTTCTAATAATTTGTTTAACCATTCATCTGGCACAACCTAAGAAAGTATTTAAAATTACATGAATGAAAAATATTGATAAATAAATGAAGTCAAAATAAATCTATTCGAGTTGAATTTTTTACCCCAGTAACTTCAATGACATCAGTAGTTGTGATTTCGGAGCTTGTTCCTTTTAACCTGGAAACGGATTGGAGAGAAGTAATTGCTTTACGCAAATCTCCTCCAGAAGCATCAACCAACTTTGTTAGTACATATTTATCACATTGAATGTTTTCTTCTTTCGCTATATACTCTAATTTTTCGATAATTTTCTCCTGGCCAAGTGGCTTGAATCGAAACTTAGTACATCGAGACGTTAAAGGTTCAATAATTCTTGACACATAATTACATATAAGACAAAATCGCGTACTGTGAGATTCTTTTTCCATAGTACGTCTGAGTGCAGACTGTGCAGCATGTGTCATACTATCTGCTTCATCAAGAATAACTATTTTAAAAGAAGGGCAAGGTTTGCCACTGAAAGATAATTTGTTTTTCGTAAATAAAATCAATTTTATACATTTATTTCTATTATTAACTTAAATTTAAACTCATTACGTGTAGTCTCAGAATTAAGGTGTTTTCATATGATTTAAAATCAAGAGCAACTGCATATCATGGAAACAGAATATATCTAATATTCAAAGTATTTTTTAAATTAAGTACTCAGAATATTTATTTGCTAATTTGAAACAAAATTCAAGGCTTAATAATTTTGTTATAACAGATGGAGCAAAATTAATATCTCGTTGGAAATAAAAGTATCAAATAATTTGATTGATACTCCTGAGACACAACGAGACTATCTCCATGACAATACAATGTTGTTCCGAATTAAATCTCAAACCTTTTACTAGAGCATCATTGACTATTTGTTGGACTATTACAAAAAGTAAATTTATGTACAAAATAATAAACAAATTTTATCATAAATACATAATACTTACTCTGGTCTTGTATTGGATGCTGTTAATTGAGAAAAAGACTTAACCTTATCTCTGATCACATCAATACCTCTTTCATCTGATGCATTCAGCTCTAAAATTCTATCTTTATAAATATTTCCAAATAATTGCCTAGCAGCTGCTAAAATTGTACTGGTTTTACCAGTACCAGGTGGACCATAAAATAGAAGATTAGGAAAATCTCCTCCAGACATGCATTGTCGGAGGACTTCAACAACTTCTCCTTGCTCTACGACATCATCTACAGTTCTGGGTCGACTGAAAAAGAAATTTACAATCATTTCAAAATTAATTACAATCAATTCTTTGATATATACACACTATTTTTCAACCCATGGGGGAGTTGGACCGGATTTCGTTTCCTTTAACTTTGAAGTTGAGGGCTTTTTCAAATCTCCTAATTTTCCAGTTTTTAAAAATGAGTGCATCTTTTTTAATACTGTTGGTAGTTGATAGATAATAAATGCCAAATATGTATATCGAAAAACTATTTAATAAATCCAAACATAAAAAAGTTAAAAAGATATATATTTCGACACTATAAAAATGTCAACAAGTGTAAAAATTTCTATTCTATTCTATTCTTTCCGCATCAGCGCTTGATAACACGCACGTCTTGTAGTCGAACCAGAAAAGAGAGACCGGGAGCGTGACATCCGTCCCCAATGAGATGTCAGTCAAAGGCATTTTTACAATCTTTTAAATTTAAATCTTTAAATGTATAATCTTACTGATTGTTAACCAAATTCTATGATGCCCAGATTTTTTATTTAATGATCATTTTAAAAATAAGCTTTATTCTTTTAATCTTTTAAAATTGGTTTTTTTTATTTTCAATCATTTAATATTCAATCAAATTATAAAAATTTTTCTTTTTTTAATGTTTATCATTTCGTTGAGCAGTCAACTTAAGAAATTAGGACTGGTAAGTTATCTTGCGTCGGTATAGTAGAAAAAAATTCAACTAGTGTCACTGTTTTCTAATAGATGACAGTAATTACACTGTTTTCAATCAAAAATTAAAAATGCTTATATGATTTTAAATTTTGAACTGTTTAATAGCAACTTTACTTACCAAAAATAAATATTAGATTGATCTTCTTGAAATGGAGCATAATTTTCTTCAAAACCAATTACTTATATCGATATTTTTTATCGTTAGAGATATACCACATCAAGTTATATTGAGTTAATTTCTTTACAATATCAATTACACAATTCAAAATAATAAAAAAATACTTTACTTTTAAATTGAATTTTTCTTCAATATATTTCCTTTTTTTGTTTCATCAATCATTTAAGTTACTGAATTACTTGCTATTTCTTCAGTTAGTTTGTGTTTTAATTGACTATCAGTAACACAGTCTTCTAGTATTATCGTAATTATAAATAAAATAAAATATATTATTTGTATCATTAATTTACGCTTAGTTTAACTTTTCTAATGAAGTTAGTTTCTTCCATCGTGTAATGAAATTTTTTAAACAGGTTTTTTTTCAATATAATTTTTATTTCAAACTCTTTTTTCATTAATGACATATTTTTTTAAAAACAAAATAAATTTTCACACAAATAAATTATATATTGAAGAGAAATAAAATTAAGATCCTATTAAATTTTTATTATTACTCAATTTAGTTCACACGACAATTAGTTTCAACACAAAAAAGTAATTTTTTGGGTAAATATTAAAACACATTTGTTATAATATCAATTTATATATAGGATGACATTGTCAGAATATTTGTAGGCAGTAGTTGAACGCACAAATATTCGACGGGAGCTGAGACAACGTGGCTCATAATTTGGAAGTGTAGATAACCAAAGTTAGAGAGATACACGCAAATGTAAATTTTCTTAAATATAAATAAAAGTTATACTTATAACTTCAGGAATGATTTTTGAATTCTTTAATTGACCCTGATTATTTTATTTTAAAATAATTGAATTGAGTAGTGATTTATATGAAAATTTATTAATAAATTTATATTCATATTATATTTATATTTAAATTCAGGTAAATTAAGGTATTCATTAAAAATACTGATTTATTTTTATAAAAACTTAAGTAATAAAACTTTTTTTTCGTTGCACGAAAATTGTTTATGTTTATTAAAGGAGAGAATAATACTGACATACATTATTTTTGAAGTTTTTCAACTTTTTAATAATTCAGTTTTCAAATTTTTTTCACTTGGATTACGTTATTACGCTAACATTAAGATAAAAATGTTATTATCATTAGATTATAAGCCTAAATATACTTATTTATGTAGTAGGAATTACATGACATTACATGAGCCAGAAAGAAGACTTTTCTCTGTATAAGCATTTTGAATTTTTTTTCTACTATACCGACGCAAGATAACTTACCAGTCCTAATTTCTTAAGTTGACTGTTCAACGAAATGATAAACATTAAAAAAAGAAAAATTTTTATAATTTGATTGAATATTAAATGATTGAAAATAAAAAAAAACCAATTTTAAAAGATTAAAAGAATAAAGCTTATTTTTAAAATGATCATTAGATAAAAAATCTGGGCATCACAGAATTTGATTAACAATCAGTAAGATTATACATTTAAAGATTTAAATTTAAAAGATTGTAAAAATGCCTTTGACTGACATCTTATTGGGGACGGATGTCACGCTCCCGGATTTTGCGGAGATCATCACTTCACTTGTCTCCGAGGTACTAGACTGACGAGACTAACGAGAGTTGTAGCTCACGTTGTAAAATACAGAGTTGTAGCTCTGGCTAAGAGGTTGTAGCCTTTTAGTTCCCCGAAGAGTTGAAGCTTTCCAAAAGTAGGACCTGGAGGGTTGTAGCCTTTCGGCCAAGAGTTGGTGCTCTTGGTGTTAGTTAGCAATCGAGAGTTGATGCTCACGATTTCGACCGTGTAGGAGTTGTAGCTCTTCGCTGACGAGTTGTAGCTCGTCAGTTATTTAGGCAAGGTTGAAGCCTTCCCTCTGAGAGTTGTTAGCTCTCAGAGTATCCCGGGTTGGGTTGTAGCTTGACCAATTAGGGGTTAGGTTTAGGGGTAGACATTTTTAGGGTGGGATTTTATGATATCAACTCTCTCTCCCTCGAATATAAAGGCATTTAAGTTAAAGTTTATTTGTAAAGCTGTACAATTGGAAATCTCGAATAGAATAAATATATGTTGTAAATTGTTTATATAATAAAGTTGGAATTGGATTTTAATTTGTGTTTAGAGGAATTACTTTGTAACAAATCCGCCATAGAATCCTGGGCCATAAAATTCGATAAGTTTTAAATTGGAGCGGGAATTTTCTTGAGGTTTCGCCTTAAGGAAATTTAGTCGTTACAAGACGACTCAGTGATTGTTGTAAAAGTTTCGGTAGAATTTTTTAGCGTTGTTTGACTAGTGACTTCTTTAAGAATAACTATAGATGATTGTGTTATGTAAAGTTGATGATTCTGTGTAACCATAACTAGTTATCGTGTTTCCATGGTTTCTTGACCAATATCTGTTATTATTTACTTCCATCAGGTTATTTAAGTAAATCATTTTTAAGACAGAGGTATCTGCCACATCTACTATGATTTTATAATTTTATATGAAAGAGAAAATTAAGAAATTAATATAATTATTCATATATTATAAATAAAAAATTGAAAAGTAGATTTTTATTTGAATAAGATAAACCGCCCTATTTCCGGATACCTATCTAATTCCGGACAGTCATTATTTTTGTTAACATTAAGCAATAGTTTACTCATAACCGAGAAAATATTGATGTGATTATATATTTTCATTTATATACTTCCTTATCCTGCTACGAAATTTCCAAATTATATATTTTTTATTTATAAAAAAAATAATTTTGGTCAGAAAGTCCCCCTGACGCTATCTATGGAACGCTCGTATGCTTAAAATCAGTATTGTGATAAATTGCAAATATTTTTCCTTTCAAGCGATTTGTAAAGGATATGTTAGTCGCTACTTAATCTCTGTCCTTCTATTTTGTGAATAACCACTCAAGTTTTAAATTTTTAACAATATTGCTCTTTAAAAAAATTTAAATATCGTGTCCGGAATTAGATAATGTAGAATTTATAAATTTTCCTTACCTTAAACTGTAATACTTTATATATATTTTGCTTATTGGAACAATTTTATTTTTTTTAAATAATTAAATAAATTATGTTTTTATGCAAAAGGTGTTATTAAATTTTCTCTCTAAGAGTGAAGTCCTAAATTTTCAAATAAAAAATATTTGAAAAAACTTCGGGTTTCGATAAGCCGGAATTAGGCGCAGACGTGTCCGGAATGAGATCGGAGTAAGTTTCCTGTCTGGAATTAGGGATATAAGTTCGTGGTCAATGGCACTGACATGAAGTTTAATTTAAAAATATTTAGATATGAATTAAAAAAAATTTTATTTTGTAAATTGATAATTTAATATTTTTATATTATTAAGATTATTTTTATATCACACTTCCGAAAATAATTTGTTTTTTTTGCACAAATTTCTGGTATAACCGCAGTCTAAATTGTGTTTAATCGAATAATTTATGCAAACGTGTCTAGCCATTTTTTTGATAAAAAAAAGTAAAATAAGTTGAATAAAGAAGACATTTGAAATAGATTTTATTTATTGATAATGATTAACATTATTGACAACCGAGGTCAATAAAAAATGGTTGTTAATAACTTCATATGACTCTAAACAATTGTATATTGTTTATAACAATAGTAATTTTTCATGAGTAAAAAAGCTAAAGATGACAAAATTATAGATTTTAATTGATGGGAAATTCGTTATCAGTGCACATACTAAGCCTAGACCTATTTTCATATTTTCAGAATCAAAAAATAGGTCTGAGCACACTTTGTCTGTGCTAACACGACGAACCTCCCATTAGTAATTGTTTATAACAAATTTAAATAGTTATAATCAATGTTTGTTGAAAGCATCCGAATCCATGTGATATACACATTACTTAATCAATGAATACAATTTTTAATTGTTTATAACAAATTCGTATTGTTATAAACAATGTGTAATTGTTGAAAGTCATATTTGGTTGTGAACAATAATGTCTAGTCACTATCGACTCAATTTTCAAATGAAATTGTTATTGTTTGACTTAAAAGTGCTTTAAATAGCTAATCTTTTCATTTTTTATTAATTATTTTGTCATAAAAAAAAACGGCTAGACCGAATTTGTTCAAATTTTACTCCGATCTTCTTTATGATAATATCCTTTGAATTAATTTTGGTTGAAGTCGATATCTTAATCCGTTCTTGAGATATCGAAAACGAAAAAAATTCTGACGTCCATACATACATAAAAAATTGGTCAGTATGCTTGCAAATACCATGAAACGTGAAGATATGATGAAAATTCAAATTTCACCAATCGACCCAATTTCAATAACTTCCTAATGGGAAGTTAATAAAAACCACATATCAGATAGATGAATAATCCGGAATATTGTATTCAATTTTAAATTATAATTTAGAATAAAATATATTCCCGGGAAAAAATAAAGTAAATTTACACAGATCCACATTATCGCCGTTTCTTAGATCTAATTTGATCTGCTTATATCTAAAAAAACTCAAGAAAATTTGATCTAAGTTAATCTATGTATATCTAGTGAGATCACTCTATATCAACACAAATTGCTTTATGTTTATGGAGATCTCCATTGATCTTGATGATAAAAAAGTATTTAATACATCTACAGAAATTACAGAAGATTTAAAGTGATCAAAACAGATATAAACAAAACAAAGTAGATCTAATTGTACCAAAAAATAGATTAATGCAGATCTATTTTATTTTTTGTCGGGTTTCATATCAATAAGCTATTTATTGCTCAATTTTTAGTGTATATACTGACTATGTAGTGTAGCATAAAGTTTTCTTATTAATTGTGATATTGTTAAAAAAACTTTCAAATATATTTTTTCAAAAGATTATATTCAGATTTTTTTGTTATATGCTATTTTGTTATTTAATAATAAATCATAATTCCTAGGAACATTACAGTTGTAAGTAAGTACAAAATAATTTTTTTGTAACGTATATCGTTGAATTATATAAGTTTTCAGTTTATTTTTTAAAAAAAATAGTTTTCTTTTAATTCTATGACTCTGATTTTATCATTGAAGAATGTGATTTACAAAAATATCAATACGGAAGTTCTATATTGTTAGAAAGATGTTCTAGAGAAAAAAATTAGTTCTAGTATAATTATTGACATAACATTGTTCACGATTTAAAAATATTTTTGCAACAATGTTTCTAGATTGGTAGATAATAATATTATTCAATTAAACATGACATAATAGTAATTAGTAATGATTATAACATGTCAATCAATGACTGTATCAATCTATATAAAATGGGTAATCTTATCGGAACATAAGTTTCTTCTATCCACTGAATCAATATGGTTTTCCAAAAGTTAGCTATAGTTTTTGCTGTTTTCAATCTTTTTATTGGCAATGCACTTGGAGATGTTTCAATTCCAGGAGTAAGTTCAAATATTCTTAATTTCAAATACGTTAGTTCATAAGAAAGTTGTTAAAACAACAAATTTTCAATTAGTATAATTTTTTGTAGCCTAAAGAAAAATTTAGGATTCATTCGGTTACAATTAATGAGATACCAAATGAATACTTTGCATATGCTAATATTACGATTAATCCTGGAAACTTTTCTTCTACAACACACGTTCAAATAATTAAAACATTACCAGAAGATTTAATGGTAAACTGAAGTTGTATTCATAATTATTAATTTGTTCCTTTTTCAAATTAATCATCAAATTTAAATACTTAGCTGAAAGTAATCCTCAAATATCAAGGACAAGATATACCTCCACTCGAATTCTTGGTTTGCCCTGGCATGTACGATAAAATATATGTAGATGATGTGGTATCTAAAGGATTGCCAAAAGAAACCTTTCCACACAATTGTCCAATCACTCCAGTAAGAATGATAAAATACATTATTTCTTCGAATGAATTATAAGTCCAGTCAATATGCTTTGAAAAAGGCCGAAAATTAAAAGTAAAATCGATTAGTGTTCAACGGACTTTCAATTTTTGCTCTTTTTTAAACCATATTGACTGGACTATTTATCCTATTTATTCTCGAATAATTTATTTATCTTGAATTGCTTTAATTTTCAATAACATAGATTCATATTCGAACTTTCGTTAATTTTGTGATAAACATTTCAGAATATCTTAATAGTGAAAGAATGGTCATTCCCACACTATAAAATTCCGCCCGGTACTCCACCTGGTCCAGTTATAGTAAATGTTTATCTGTCCGTACAAAGTACTAATGAAGTTATTTTTCATCTTTATTCTGAAGGCGAAGTCATAATAGCAGATATGCCCAATGCTTTTCCAGGAAAATAACTAATTTAGAAGATTATTCATTAATATGGTGATGTAACAATTAATGACATTAATGAATATAAAATATTTAACGGTTAAATAAATATATTATAATATTGGAAGTCAAATGAGGATCCTATTTTACTGTAGAAAAAAAATGATTTTTTATTCATAAAAATGTATTAATAAGATGTACGTGTAAGGGAACGTGAGGTAAAGTGGAACACTCAGAAAGAACGTAAATCAACAAATTAACTATTATATTAACCGATGTTAGTAATTTTTAATGCATTAATGAATTGAAAAATTAATAAACAAAAAGTGCAATAAGAACTTTGAAATTTATTTTAATAAATTAGTATATTTTCTTGAGTGTTTCATTTTGCTCCTGTTTTCTATTTTAACCTCCCTTCCCCTACATTTATTAATAAAATGTATATATATATATATATATATAATAATATAACATTTATAATATATATAAATTAGTCTAATCTGTATTAAATACAATAACAAAAATTATTATTATATTCCATAAACAATTTAAATATTTTTTATCGTTTCCTGTAAAATTTGTTTATTATGGAAATAGGACCTTTTGAACACACTTCAAATAATTTATTTTAAACATCCCTCCTTTTGAAGAAATTCTATGCTTGTAGCGCCTCTATTGGTAAATATCTAGCATAATTTTTTTATCAACAGAGAGTATAGTATGTATGTATCTTTAAATTCAAATTCCATATTTGTAAAGTTTCTTTGATACATAATTTTATATTCAAGTCATTTCAATAACGTTCGAACAACTGTGACCGAATTATTTATGTTTGAAAAGTTTTTCATGTATAAAGAATAATTCGAAGATGAATGGTTTGTTGACTTTATTGCACACTGCACATCAATTATAGATTAGTTAACATTTAATATTTTAAAGATAAATTTTTAGAATCCGATCACTTTCTACAATGTAAAAACTTAGTAAATATATAAACGTTGGAAAATTTTGTCTTGTTTTATCTTCTTAAGATAAAGAATGATCCAAAAATAATCATCCTCTTCTCGTAATGTACACAGCATGATCACTATGACAGGAAATAGCTGACTTTTGTTAGGAAATAGTGGGAGCTGCTATATGAATTGTGAATAGCACTGTACGCATCAGTGTACCAAGAAATATACAAATCAGTGATCACTATAAGTAATATTAGTTTTCTTGTTGCTTGTACATTAGTAACGTCCACCGATTGCTCTACAATGTTTGGGTTTGTACATAATTAAATCAATTCAATGAAAATTTTATTGTATTTACCGAGTATCTTTATATGCATATAATTAAAAAAATTTTTTTGGCTATTTTATTTTTATAATTCAATTTTATGTACATAAATTATAAAATGTAATTGAAAATAATTATTTACACTCACAATAGTCATATTTTATTTGCATGTAATAATACTTTTTTCATGATTTCTGTTAAATCTTCTACTTAATTAGCCACTATTATTATTTTTTTTTTCTTTATTAAAGATCAACAATTTACCTATTTCTTAACAATAAATCGTAACTTATTTGAACTCATGTGAATTCGAACTTTTTGATGTATTACTTATTAGTGCATGTGTAGTTTATTATTTAGTCATTGACAAAAAATTTATTCTGTTAAAGATTTGAATTTATCGAATTAGTAGCATGAAATTTCAAACAAAATAAAAATAAACATTGATTTAAAGTTACTTATTCATGAAGAAGTTTGGAAATTTCTCATTATTGACCCATTAATTATGATTGATCAAATTCTTTATCTTAATGACAAATCACAATATATGATAACAAAGATTAATGACATACTAGAAAAATGTTTTTTATTTTAGTATCATTATTTACTTGAGTCTTTTTATAAACATTAAAAAGTTTCAACTGTTAATAATGTATTAAAGTACTTTTAAAACATTTTACTTGAAAAAATATTGAAATAATGAAAATTAACCATAAATATTATCATTTTTCGTAAGAATTTAAGATTAATGATAAAAAATTTATGTCATTATACACTTAATCGTTTCAAGCACACTGTAATTGCTAACAATTAACACCAATTTAATGATACAGCTCCAAACGAATTATATACACTGTATTGTATTTCCTCTCATATTATTTCACTGTGTAGAAATCATAAAACTTATGTAATCTGATGTAGATTGTATATCCAATTGTTTAAGATTTGTTTTTTTTTTTTTTTTATAGGCGTTATAAAAAAGCAGTAATTGGAGTAGGAATTGTATTATTTTTATCGATAATCATCGCGGTAATTTTATTAAAGACTGGTATATTAGATGATGATGATGATGATAATTTATTGACAAAGTCATGGGGTAAAAAATTGATTAGTAAATCTTATCTAGGAAAATTTCAAAAGGTTATTAATTTTATTTACGTATTTATTTAATTTCAAAATAAGAAATGATTAAATTATTGAAAATATCTGAATGAAAAACTATTTAGGCTGCAGTATCATCAAATGGAGAAGAGTGCTCAGACATAGGGAATGGTATACTTAAAAAAAATGGTTCAGCTGTTGATGCTGCAATTTCAATGTTATTGTGTGAAGGAGTTTCATCACTTCACAGGTTTAGTATTTTAAATTACAACATTTATGTAAATTTTTTTTCATGATTCATTGATTAGAAACTCGTTAAAGATAAAAATAATTGCGTAAAACAATTTTTCAAGAAACAAATATGCATAATATTTAATCACTCAAGTAATATTTAAAAAACTCATAACACATTTAAATACAAAAGTCCATTTGATAAATGTAATATAGATAGCTGTTTGTAAACATAGTAGATAGATGGAGAAAAATTCATAATTAGCATAATTTAATTGTTACGTAGACATTGTTAGATAATCATCTGATTTTAAATAAAATTTACAAAAGTCATTAAACGCATTTCTATTCTTTAAATTATATTTTGGTTTAAAAATATTTACAATCACGATAAATTATGTTTGCTTATTTTTGCAAAATTTATACACTTAAATTAAATAAGATTTCATTTAGCATACATAAATCAGTAACAAAATAAAAAATTTTTATAGTTACTTCATTTTTTTTTTATCTTTTGAAATACATTTTGTTAGTTTCTTTTATCTCACATATCAAAATAAATACTATAAAACCTAAATTGCGGTTTCTACGTAAACTAAGAGCGATCATAATTTAATAATTAACGGCTTGAAATAAGAAACATTCTTGTTCTTTTTTTAATTTATCCTATTGAAATGATTAATGTTAAGTATAATAATAAAACATTTTAGTAACTGTATTTGGCTTATCAGTCATTTAAATGGAAAATATTATTTAATTATAGTTCAGGATTAGGAGGTGGTTTTTTAATGACTATTTGGGATGCAAAAAATAAAACAGCAGTATTTCTTGATGCAAGGGAAACTGCTCCAAAAAATGCTACAAAAGATATGTTCAATGGTAATGCTGCAGCATCACGATTTGGTAAATAGAATCAAAAATCATTTTTTTTTAAATGATTAAAAACAAAATTAAATATGAAAATTATGTTTTTCATTCTCTAAACCATAGGTGGAATGGCTATAGCAGTTCCTGGAGAATTAGCAGGATATTGGGAAGCTCATCAACGTTACGGCAAACTCCCTTGGAAAGAATTATTTTTACCTGTTATCGAACTTTGTGAAAGAGGTGCTTTAGTAAATCCTTATCTTGAAAGATCATTAAAATCCAAGTTACAAGACATATTAGCAGAGCCTACTCTTGCCGATATCCTTATTGATCCAAATACTAATTCTACTTGGACCGTAATATCTCTTATTTATATTTTATATTATACATTCTTATAGATTGTTGTTCATTTTACAATAATAATTTATTTTGTGCCATTTCTAGTCAGGAAAAAGAATAAAACGACCTCAGCTAAAAAAAACTTTGGAAATGATTGCTGACAGTGGTAAAGATATATTCTATGATGGAATAATTGGAGAAGCATTGGTACGAGAAATACAACAGATGGGTGGAATTATAGAAATGGATGATTTGAGAAGTTATAGGTATAATTAGTGCATTTAATGAACAAATTATTATAATGATAATATCAATATGTTAAAGAATGTTTAGAATTTGTCACCATTATTTTGGTATATAATAATAAAAAATATATATTTTTATTTATTTCATCAACTGAAAAATAATTTACAGAGCATTATGGAAAAATCCTATTTCATCAAAAATTGGTAAACACATTGTACACACAGCAGCTTTACCAGGTTCTGGAGTTATCTTAGCATTTGCTTTAAATGTTTTGGAAAGTTTCGTCCCGACTGCTAATGAATCTGTTTTTTATCAGCGATTTGCAGAAACTTTTAAATGGGCATTTGCAAAACGAACAGAGCTCGGAGATGATAACTTTGTTAATCTCAGTATGTTAAAGAATTTATCATTAATCAAAGTGTAAAACATAAATTTAATCAAGAGCATTTTATTTGTAGCAAGTTTAATGAAAAACCTTACCTCCAAAACCTATGCTGACGAAGTACGCCAAAAAATTCTCGACAACTGGACTAGTACTGATCCTAAATATTATGGAGCCATTACTCATACTCCTGATGATTTTGGAACTGCTCATATTTCTATTTTAGCATCAGATGGATCAGCAGTCTCTGCAACTTCAACAATCAACCAAGTGTACGATTTAATTTTATTTAAATAAAAATATAATTTTAAAAATTTACAATAATCTTGGCGATATAGTCTAGGAGCAATGAAACGATCTCCATCAACCGGAATTATTTTCAACGATGAAATGGATGATTTCAGTTCTCCAAATATCATTAATAGTTTTGAATTACCACCGTCTCCAGCCAATTTTATTGCACCAGGCAAAAGGCCATTGAGTTCAATGGTTCCAACGATTATTGTAAGTTATAAAACATTTTAAAATATTTATTTTTCAGTAATAAATTAAATTGAATATTTTTTCCAATAGACTGATGATAAAGGTGAAGTTCAATTAGTTGTCGGAGCTGCAGGCGGTACAAAAATTACAACCGGAGTTGCTTTAACAATTGTATTAAATCTATGGACAGGATATACTATTAAAGAAGCTATTGATGTTCGAAGACTACATCATCAAGTAGAATGATTTTTATTATTTAACATTTTTTTTAAGAAAAAAATTATAAAACATAATTATGGTGATTATTTTAATTATTTTAGCTATTACCAATGAGGATTGAAGCTGAACCAAACTTCCCTTCTGCAATATTAAATTACTTAAAAAGTATTAATCACACTATTGAGCACTATGTTGGAATAGGAAGCGCAGTAACCGCAATATCAAAATTAAATCACCCCGGAATTACAGCAAATGCTGATTATCGACGATACGGATCTGTTGCTGGCTGTTAATGATATATAAAGAAATTTGTTTTACATTTTTATATACGTAAAATCCGCTTTATTCCATTTATTCAATTCTATTCATTTATTGTTTTTAATTGTTTATTATAGAGAATATATTTTTCCACAATAATTGGTTTAATAAATATTTATGAAAATTTATTAATAATAAGTGCTACTCAATTACTATCACTACTACTCTCTGAAAGTTTAGCCTCTTTTTTTATGATATTTTTCGGTCGACGCACTAGTCTTTTTCTTGTTTTCTTTTTTCCCTGAGTAGATTTTCTAAACACTTCAATAGCTTTCAATTTTTTCTGTAGTGCTTCAGTTTTATCTTTTTCCCTTTGAGGTATACATTCATCTCTTTTTTCATTTTGTTGAACGTTGAACTTTGTTTCCAATAATTCAGTATTTTTTTTATAATCTTCAAAAATTTCTATACTTGTTTCAATAGTTTCAATATTTTTTTTATTTGCTGATTGTTTTTTTGGTTTTTTTTTAACTTTTTTTTCTATTTCATCATTAGAATCATCATTTTTCGAATCTTCATTTTCATCGTCCTCTTTCCCCATCATTTTCACTGCTTTCTGAACTCTTTTACTTAAATTCTGCTTAATAGCTCGCGGAACGGTTTCTATTTTAAAGTAATTTAATAAATTTTTCTGTGATTTATCATTCAAAAATTTCTTCATAACAGGACCCATAACTTCTTCGAATTTAATTTTAGTCCAACCAAATTTTTCTCTAGTATAATCACTTAAAAGAACAACATTTGGTTTACTCCAACTGAAAGGTTCTGTGCTCTCATCGACAGAAGGAAAAAGGTATGCCTGAGCAACAGCCTGACTTGGAAATCCTAAATCGACTGTAATATTTTTTAATTTATTTCTTAAAGTAGTTCTTCCAGGTGCTGCTATTTTCCCTGCTCTTAACCATGTAGCAAAATTAATTAATCCTTGAAGTATATCATCACCTTCAGATGGAAAGTTGGCCAAAATTTCAAGTGCTGTAACAGGACCAATTCCTGGAATTCCTAGTGTATAATCACTTCCAACTAGTAAAGCTAATTGAATCATTTGCGGTCTCGTAAGCTTGAAATGATGTTCAATATCTTTAATCAGGTACTGCATAACTTTTTTATCATTATTGAAGAAATTTTTATAGACACAACGACCACCAAACAGCCAAATATCAGAATCATCTGTAATTGTACCATCTGTTAAGTTAAGAAGTTCTAGATAAGCACATTGAGCTTCAGCTTCTTGAGGTGCTATAACATATGGAATTCCAAATAAACGGAGGAGTTCTTGTGCTTCACTACGCATTTGTTCTGTTACTTCTGTAGCTTGTCTTTCTAATTTTCCAATATTTTCTACTAATTCTTGATGTTCATCTTCTAGTTGTGATCTCATATCTAAAAGATCCTCCTCTTTATCTACTTTAGTCAGTATTTCAGCTTCATCATTTTTTAATTTTGTTATGATTTGTTCAACTCTTTCTGATGGTTTTTTTTCTTGTATTAACGTTTCTGAAGAACTTAATTGACTAAAAGTAGATTTGATGGTTATCAAATTATTAATGGGTGACACATTTTCTGAAGATGTGAAATTACTTTTACGTATTTCTTTTGCATTAATCATCTCTTCAGATAATATTTGTTGTTTATTTATTAAGTTGATTAGTGGATGCTCATTGTTATTAATATTTACAATTGGTTTAATATTTGTTGGACTTGAATTATTTTTCGAATCAACAGAAATATTAGCCGATACTTTTATAACAGTTTCAGGTACATTTTTATTTTCTTTTTCATGGTTTAAAAACTCTTTACCTATTAATTGTACTTTATTTGATTGTTGAATCAAGCTTTTTTCATTAATCAAATTAAAATTGTTCCTGTTAGAATCATTTGTTATTGTTTTGTTTATTTCGAATTTTTCTTCTATTAATGGATTTAATTTTTCTATTTTTAAATCATCGAAATAATTATTTTGGAGTAATTCACTACTTTTATAATTTTGTGCTGATGAATTCAACTTTATATTTTTTAAAAATTCTGAAGACTGTTCTTGAAATGATAGCTCTGATAAACTATTAAACTCGGTTGGTTCTGTTTCGAAAATATCAGCAAAGATATCTTCTTCATTATTTGGTTTTTCATCTGTTTTTACAGTAATTTCTATTTTTTTATTTTGAAAAATATCGGGAATAGGTACATCTGTTACTTCAACAAAATCTTCTGAATCTGATTCACTGCTTATAGCAGTTTTGTTTTCAAATGGTGGAGATGATTTTTGTTTTATTCTTTCTATTTGTTCATCATTATCTTGTGCACTATCTGAAGAATTTATTTCTTCTTTTATTTGAATCATTTCTTCAATAGTTTCCAAACATGTTTCTGAATCTACTCTTGCTCTTTTATTATGTGCAAATATTTTCTTATTCTCTATAATTACTCGCTTTCGTTTTGATCGTTTTGTTTCTGTATTTTTAGCAGTATTGTTCATCATTTCTTTATTTTGTTGAATAAATTCAAGAATTTTTTCCTGTGAAAGTCCAGATTGTGCTTGCATGTAAGCTAACACTGGATTAGATGATTTGCTAAAAAATTTTTTTATAATCGGAGATTCTACTACCTTATTAACGATTTTTAATTCTGAATCCCACTCATCATCAAGATCGTATTCATTGATATTTTCAATCAAAGAATTAGATTCTTCGGGAATGGCAGATAATTGTGCATGAGTTGTAATATTTTTTGAACAACTAGGTTGATTTAAATCTGTAAGAATATTCTCAAAATTCTCTTGATTTGATTTTAAGTTTGTTGGATCATTGATGTAGATCACTCTAGATGTACTATTAGAAGCTATTCGAAAAACTTTATCATTCCTTTTTGTATCAACACCTTGATCGATCATTAACTTTTCTAGTTCTTCCAAAGTAAGAGTTTTTCCTCCCATTTCACGTTCTGCAGCTTCAAGACTTTCCTGAACTTGCCTTCTTTTTAACAATCGTTTCATTTGGAAACCAGAAAATTGTTGTGAATCTTCAGGCATCTCATGCAATCGTCCCCACGAATTTTGTTTTCTAGTTTCTTTTAAATCTGTTAATATATCGTAACGAACATCAGCTGGTAATGATTTAAAATCATCAGTATTTACATCAACGTTATGAATATTTCCTTTCCATTTTACTTGTTTACGAGGACTTAATTCAATGGTATTATCAGAGTCATTTGAATCATGATCTTCCGTTAAATTACTTGATAATTCAGGAAGTTTAAATATATCATCAACTCGTTTGATATTGCTATTTAAAATATTTGTAGTTGATTGTTCTTTTTCACTAACCTGTTTTGCTAAAACTCCTTTGACTAATGAGTGTTTCATCAAATTATGCAACAAATCATTTTTCATTTTTTCAGCTGTTCCAGCTAATTGTGCTTTATGTTTTTTTCTTGCAGCCTGAAACAGTTTTGACGAATTTATCATAAAAATTTATAAAAATAAAGATATTGATAAATTTTTTTACTCACAATTGTATTTTTCTTTAATAATGGAACTCCTCCATCGAAAATGAATACTGGTTTTATTTTGAAATATAACAGTTTGCATATACGATTGTATAAACCTAATAAATGAGCATTTGGAACAGCATGACCTCGACGATCTTGATATCCTTGTAATACCTGATAGATCCAAATTGATATATCTAAAAATAAAAATGAATTAAAATTACAATACATTAAGAACATATATTTTATTTAATCAAAGTAAATTATTAATACCAATTGCTAAAATTTTTCCTTCCAATGTTTCTACAGGCACCGGCTTTCCTGAAGCATCAATTAATCTCCATAATCCTGTTACTCCCATGATTATCGAATACCAATTAATACTATTTTTAAAGCCATTTGATTTTATTTTGCACTATTTATTGAAAAAATAATTCACTGATCAGAAAAAAATCTAAATACATAGAAAACATTTGATTTTACCGAGAGAGAAAAATTTAGAGTCCCTTCAGATAGAGTCTGGCAAGATAGAGTCGGGCAGGACTAAAGTCCCTTAAGTTCTGAGGGAAATTCAGGCAGAACTCAATCAATATGGCGTTATCTTGCCGAACTCTGTCTTAAGGGACTATATAGAAAAATTGATACCAATCTGACCTCTATATTTAAAAATATAAACAAATTTTGTACCAATGTTTGCTCTGTATTATCGGCATTACTATACTTCCTTTTAAAATCACGCAGATGCCTAGAGATGCAGGATGACCGTCATTTATGATTATGGTCACAGAACGGTCATACGACCGTCATGTGACTGACTGTCTCAAATGATCGCCGGTTTTGAAATGCCAATTTACCCTCAGGAATTTTTTGGTCACAAATTTGGTCATCTGCATCTAGCTAGATGAGTTGGACCATAATGTAAAATTCGGTCACTTATAACGGAGTGGTCATCAATTTGGTCATCTGTATCTAGCTCGATGGTATAAGACAAAATGTACTAAATACTAAAACTTGCAAAACCTTCTGAACAATGTACTGGTTCTTGTTTCTGGTCCGAAGGATGTAGATCATTGCTTTGTACTTGTGATAACTGTAAAAAAATGTATGAAGAACAACAGGTTTCATTTCTGCTTAATCCAGCTGATAGTGTGCAAGCTTATGACGAAGCTGGAAAATTACAAAGCTCAGAATCTCAATGGGGAAAAGGAATGAAGGCACTTGCTTCTCTTAATCACGTTCAACAAGTAAATGCTAGTGAAGAATATAACAATATGAAAGAAAGATTGAAAGAATATCTTCAAAAAAACGACTTGACTGTGCAATAAGAAAATCAACTTATTCATATTCAATACTAATAGTTTTAGAATAATTTATAATTGAAACATCTATTTTTTAAGCTTATTGATATATTAAATTTCTAATATTATTTTATTTACATACCTCGCGTTATGTTACGTTACAATTCAAAATATAAATAATTGTCGATAAAATGGATATAGGCTACTAGAGTGTCATACAACTATCCGTTAGATGTCGCGACTAATCCGGTGGTCGGTCATATTAGTGATGGTCAGCTGACGGTCGTATACCACAAGAATGGCAGCCGGCCCGATTGCTGAACGTAATCAAGGTAAAAAAAATCATATTTTTTAAATTATTTTTGACCTAAATTTTTATAAAAAACCTTGGTAATTTATTTAATAAATTAGATGCTACTATTTACGTTGGTGGTTTGGACGACAAAGTCACCGAATCTCTTATGTGGGAGTTATTTGTTCAATCTGGACCCGTTGGTAAGTATTTTATCTTAGTTTATCAACAAACTATTAGATCAATTATTAGAATAAATAAATGATATATTTTTTATTTCTAGTTAATGTACATATGCCAAAAGATCGAGTGACTCAAATGCATCAAGGATATGGATTTGTTGAATTTATGGGCGAAGAAGATGCTGATTATGCGATAAAAATTATGAATATGATAAAATTATATGGTAAACCGATTAGAGTTAATAAAGCTAGTGCTCATCAAAAGAATTTGGATGTTGGTGCCAATATTTTCATTGGAAATCTTGATCCAGAAGTAGATGAAAAACTTTTATATGATACATTTAGTGCTTTTGGAGTGATTCTTCAAACACCTAAGGTATTTAAATATTATATAATAATTATAGAATATTTACAAGATAAATTAACTGTATTGATATAATTTATTAACTTATTATTCATAGATAATGCGTGATCCTGAAACTGGTAATTCTAAAGGATTTGCTTTCATAAATTTTGCTTCCTTCGATGCATCTGATGCAAGTATAGAAGCTATGAATGGCCAATACCTTTGCAATCGTCCAATTTCCGTTTCATACGCATTTAAACGTGATGCTAAAGGTGAAAGACACGGTAGCGCTGCAGAGCGACTTCTTGCTGCACAAAATCCTTTAAGTCAAGCTGACAGACCACATCAACTGTTTGCTGATGCTCCACCATTAGCTCCAATGCCAATGCCTAATACTGGAATGCCAACTCATCAACCAAATGTTCAAAATCATCATCCAGCTCATCATATAATGCATCCTGGAATGGTAGTACCACCACCACCACCTCCATCAACACCATTAACAGCAATGGGACATCATCCAACACCACCACCAGTACCTGCACCGCCTCCAAGTGGATTTCCAGCTGCAAACATTCCTGCACCTCCTCTTCCACCTATGGCTGCAACACACCCACCTTTACCGCCTGGTATGCCACCACCATTACCGCCAATGCCTGTTGTACCAACAACTCAAGGTCAAGGTCATCGTATGATTGCACCGCCACCACCGCCACCTCCACCTTCTCACTGGCCCGGAAATCCACAGTTTTCTCAAACTTCTATGCCATCAAATATGCCTACTAATCAATTTGGACAATTTCAACCGCCACCTCCTAGACCTCCACCACCAACATGGAGGCATCCTCCACCACCTCCTGTAACGCAACCAAATGCCCCGTTACCTCCTACACAAGCTTCTACTCAATTTCGACCGCCGTTTCCTCCACGTGGACCTCCACCACCACCACCACCACACGATGGTTCTCAATATTAAGGTGACTGAATGAATATTTTCATCTAAAATTTCATTTTTTTTAAAACAAAGTGTACCTAACTTGAAATATTTGTAATTTGAACAAAATTGATGACAAAGAATACATAATAAAAAATTTAACATCTTTCGAATTCATTTACCGTTTTTCAAATGATTTTATAAATACTTATTTGAATTTTGTGAAAATAGTACAAAAATGAAAAATAAAAAAATTTATTATTAATATCGATTGGTAGTAATACGTGAATAAATAGCAGGGATGTATTGATTATAATGCTAGCAAGAAGGACGTTCACATAGTTCACTTTATATAGTGGTTGTCTATAGTTGCTAGAAACAAAAACTTTAACGTATGTTTATATCTATTAATAGAAAACAAATAAACAATTATTATAAAGTTTGTAAAAAAATACTTTTACAATTGTAACTACCATTTATCAGATAAAGTGATTCATTAATTAAACAATCAAGAGGTAGATACTCAGTAAAATTGATCTTCAAATTTTCTACATTAATGAGTAGGCTATATAATAATGGCTCGACTTGCTTATGAATGTAATTTGGGTCTAAGATTCAATTCAACTGAAGAGTTAGAAGCCATAAGATCATATACATGCTCTGCTGAAAAATCTTATTGCCTTTATTGTTGTTGTAACCCCCAGTGTTGTCTTTTAATACAACGACGTCCTCCTAAACATTTTTGGGAAGCTTGGTATTTTTGGCTGGGAATTGCCTTACTACTTCTTCTTATTCTATCTTCTGTAAGACTTTAAAAATTAAATATAATTGAACAATAGTATATTTTTTATATAAATATTTTGATTATTTCTTCATTATAATAATTGATTTTTATAACAGATAAGTAGCTACGTAGTTAGTAATTGTCGTCATAGCTTTCACACTAGTATCACGATTGGTAGAAATATTGAAATCCCAACAATCAGTAGAAGTAATCGAGTCACCGGCGAGATGAATGAAATTTCAGTTCATGTTGTGCCGGCAACTGACGTTACATTATCAACACCACGAATTAAAGTGCAATTGGCTGCTCCACAGCCGAATATAACACACATGAGTAAGTTATTAATTTTATACCGATAATATAATCACAATCAACAGTAAAATAACACTAAAATATTCTTACAGCTCCTATTGTTGCTTGAAATAAAAAAAAGAGTCAAATAATTTGTTAAAGTTTGAACTTGTCAGTATTTTATTATTTATAAAAAATAGACATTTTTGGATACTGTTTGTGTGTGATCTCTAGCTTTTTAAATATTTTGAATGGAATCAAGTTTGAAAATCACTAAAGAAAAAAAATATGTCTGCATCACAGATTAAAATAATCGACATTAACTTCTAGTTTTTATGTATAATAGATTGGATAATAAATTTATAAAATATGATAAATAATTTCTATTCACCAACTTGTACAAAAAAACGTACTCAATAATCTTTTTTTCTTTTTATTATCCGTATCATTGTCAATGCCATATTGTGTAACCTTTTTAATTTTAATAAATTTGCAGATTTACGACAAAATTTCATTAAATGATTTTACGTAAGCTTCGTGTAATTTAATCATAAAATCTGGGTCATTTTTAATCAAATAGTTAATCGCTTGAAGTAATTGATTTTTTGTTAAAGGTTCTACCAATGGTCGATTTGATGGTTCTGATGGGCTAGAGGCAGAAAACATTACCGGAGGAATAAGCGCTGGTGCTATTGACGATAATATCCCTCCTGTTAATCCTCGCGTCCCTAATATTTCTTCAGATTCCATTGATTTACAGTCCATGTCAAGTGATGAAAATCTCATTGGCAAGGTTGAAATTGTATCTGCCAATGAAGTTTGTGTTCCAGTTAACTCTGAAGATTTATTCATTTTGTTAGGTGTTGGTATTGAAGAATATGTCGCTGATTGTCCACTGGTGGTACTAAACATGCTTGGATTTTGTGGATGATTCGTTAAAGTAGACAATGATGCTGCCATTGGGGATTGTATTCGGAGGAAGCTAATTTTTGAGTCATTATTGTTAACGGTTGACTTGGTGGCCTGTCTTTCAAGTTCTTGTAACATTTCTGATGAAATACCTGAGTCTTGAGTATTTTTAATTTGTTTTTTTATTTTACTTGATGGAGTACCATTTTTTGTAAGATTTACATTTATTGGTACTGATGTCGGAGGTACAACAGACGGAATTCCAGCTGGCTGAGGAGTAATTGATCTTTGTTGTTTTTCGATATGTTCTAAAGTATGTGCCGCAGGATGTGACATAAGATGAGCAAGTAAAATAGGTTTATTTTCACTTACAGCATGAACATTTCCAGGTGATTTCTGATGATCTGGTTTATAATGAACAGTGTTTACCTGAAAAAAAAGTAAAGTAAAATATTTTGCTATTTTTATATTCAAACGTCTTTTACAATCAATATTTATAATTTTTTACCTTAGCCTTAGCAAAAAAATCAGCTACACTCTGAGATGTACAATCAAAAAGTCCTCTATTGCTTTCAGTAGTATTTGGAGTGGAAAATGATCCTACATTTTCACTTGTTCCAGGTGATTTGGAAGCATCGTGTTTACCATTAGCTTCTCTACTAGTATTAAAATTTTCCTGAGCTTTACTAAGCATACTGAATATATCAACATTGTTAGAAAAATTAGATTTATTATTTATTTGTTTCTTATTTTTTAAGTTTGTATTTGATCTTCGAATTTCTTCTGAATCTTTTACTAATTGTTTTAACATTGTAGAAATGCGAATGCATTCGTCTTTATCATAAAACCAAATACCGTAGATATTGCATTTAGAATTTCTGTAAAGTAGAAAAGGTTCTTGTAGTTCTAAGTCCAATTTTTGTGTTACTGGCTCCATAAGATTATTTGTATTTAGCCTGTCAAGTAAATGAAACCATTAGTAATAAACTACTTGATACGAATTAAAAAAGAATCAAAAAAAGATAGAGAAGTTCACTTTACCGATTCATAATCAGTATATTGTTATAAGGCTCTCCATTTCTTGAATAAACAAATAATGCACCCTCAATATCAGTTTTCTCCCACTCATTGTTTTCTGCATTGAAAGTATAAAGTGCAACATGCGTTGCAGTTTCCAGGATATCTTTTATATATGGATCAACGCGTTTTAGTGCAGCCATATTCATCTTTAATTCAATTAAATCTGCCATTGTCTTATTATATTTTTATTTCGATCTTACAGATTCCTATCCAGAAGATTACTTAATTGTTATTTTATCCAATTAACACTAATTTGGCTTATTAACTATGAAATTTAAGCAACAAAACTTCACAGCATCATCAATAACGCATTCTACAATATCAATTTGCACATAATTTTTAGATCAGAAACTATACAATCAACGACTTTGGGCTAGTTTCCAATATACGATAACGCGTAATTTCTATAAAACGATAGATTATGTATACTGTATAATGATTAGTCATGGCTCAACCAATCAAATGGAAGTTTAAAAGTTTCCTAGCAACACCGGATGTTACTGGTACATTTTTTCTGCAACACTGATGTTCCGTCGCTCGTGTCGTTCATATTCTCGATGATACTGGTAGAAGAAATCGTCGTCTGTACGCCATTATAGTCCAGTGACGCCATCAAGTACTTTTCTGAACATCTGTACCGGTTAATCATTGTTTATTTTCTCAAAAATTTAACCGTAACACGACTCAACAAATGAGTGACATTGAGGTATATTTTATATCTTTATAAACACTTTTAATACATCAAAACTATTCTCATTTTTAAGCTGCTTTTTCTTCGCATACATGTATAGGTAGTGGTTTCAATCGATTTTCAATGAAAAATTTGATTGCTTTTTTTATTTAATATATTGTCAAAACTTCAAAATTATTACAATTTGTGTCAATCTTCACCAAAATTATAATAATTTTGTCATAACATTTTCAAACTATCTGCCTTTTAAAATATATCTCTCTTTCTCTACTACAATTATGATTGTAAGAAAAGATCAATAAAATTATAAAAATGTAAAGAAAAATTGACCATTTTCATCATTTTACAGCACAGTGGTAGTCGAAGTGCAAGTCCTAGAAGACCTCGGACTGCTGATGGAGGTCTACGTGATTCTCGGTCACGCTCCAGGTCGCGGAAGTCAAGAGAAAGGAAAGACCGACCAGTAAAAGAATATTCGAGGTCACGTAGCCGTTCAGTGTCACGTGGACGAAAACCATACCGCAATACCAAATATACAGGAGGCCGGAGTCGAAGTCGTAGCCGATCCCCATACAGAGGTGGTGATGGACGTTACTCCCGCAGTCGTTCACGCTCTTATTCCCGTTTTCGTTATTCACGTGAACGAGACCGCAACATTTATCGATCGCATTCACGCAGCCCAATGTCTTCACGACGACGACATGTTGGCAATAGAGATAATCCATGTCCATCACGCTGTTTAGGAGTATTTGGATTATCGATTTATACAACAGAACTCCAAATTCATCATATTTTCTCTAAATATGGGCCAGTTGAACGAGTTGAAGTTGTTATTGATGCTAAGGTAACCAAATTAATTATGTTTATTGCCATATAAGACAAAAATCGAATATTGACATTAATCCAGAAATTTCATTTTCTGGTATATTGAAGATTGTGCTAGAGTTTTAGAACATGCACTTGTAAAGTTAATGAATCATGTTAAAGGCCTCTAGCTACATAATAGAAATAAATTAAGTTTTATTTAAATATTATTTTTTTGTTAAATACAAAAAATTAGTTATCTGATGATCACGTTTATGTATTATTAACTTTTTTATAATCATATGCATATGAACAATATATGATGAACATAAATTAATCAGTAAATTCTTTTTTTTTAGACGGGTCGATCGAGAGGATTTTGTTTTGTATACTTCAAATCAAGTGAAGATGCTAAAGTAGCAAAAGAACAATGTAAAGGGATGGAAATCGATGGACGACGAATCAGAGTGGATTTTTCAATTACTGAACGAGCTCATACTCCAACACCTGGAATTTATATGGGAAAACCAACATATTTACATGACAGAGGATGGAATGGTCCACGACGCAGAGAGTAAGTGATAATTTTGAAATAATTTCATATTTAGACGTAATAATTAAATAAATTTTTTATTATTATTAGCTCGGGTTATAGGAGCAGTTATCGGCGATCACCAAGCCCTTACTACAACCGTCGCAGACCTCGTTATGATCGTTCAAGATCACGATCTTATTCACCACGTAAGTCTGATCCTTCCATGATTCCTAATTCACTATATCATTCATAGACATACGGCCTATAAGTTGGAAATATCTTCAATAATACTTCAAGCTTATTAAAAACATGTTAATGATTTTATTTTATTCTTCAAGTAAATTTTTTTTACAGCACATAGTCATGTTTGTATTAAGATTTTAAGCTTCTCATTAACAAGTAAAATGATTATATACGATATAAATATGGATAGGCAGTATGTCTATGTTATCCACGTAAAACCGTCCCATTTATGGTAACCACTTAAGATGACAAGAATGGGAGACTGGATTTTGTGAAGAAATGCGTCTAAGCGTTTGGCGATAGCAACTAAGAGCGCCCTTACAATATGTACGGGTCAAAAAATCATAGTTTTTTTGTTGCTTAATGAATTTCAGGTCGATATTAAAGAGACTCGAGTATCGATGCGAGTGGGCCAGGTGTATCGGAAGCCATTTATCTGACTTGAGCATTTGACCCTCTTATTTCTTCTAACTATAACGGGAGAGGGTCAAAAGTATAAAAGTTGCATTATTCTATTCTTACCTAATTGTTTATGCTCGATTATTTATATTTTAATTATAACTCAAGCTTTTTGTTGCTTATTTTAGTCACATAACGAGCAATTATTAAGAAATTATGTGATTAGGGTCAGAATGAATAGACAGAACCTTATTTTCATAATTTAACAATTGTTTATATTAAGTTAAACGGAAATTAATTTTAATTAAAATACATGAAGATAAGGTTTAAGCGATAGTTATTATTATAATAATTACTTGTAGTTTTAAGATGAATTATATAAAGTTTTGATTTATTATTTAATCAATGAGCTAATTACTAATTGACACAAAAATAAATCAATTGTAAAGAAATGGGAGGGCTTTTTATGCATAAAGTGTGATGTGAATCATTTTCAAATATCATTATTTGAGAAAAACAAGGATAATATTAATAAGAATACTACAATTGTAAAAGAGCGAATGTAAGTTCTCTAACATGTTTGTTTGTTTATAAGGTTTTGAATCAAGAGGTATTGGATGATAGAGGGAAGTTTGAAGTTTTGCTGAAAAAAAGTTATGAAAAAGAAAATTGAAAAGAGAAAGTGGCCGAAGAATGATTTCATGAAGATAATTCTCTTACTTGAATTTCTCAAGATCTCAAGGTTTATTCGCGCTTGTGACAAAGAATATGATCCAATTCTGTTGACATTAGCGATCGTCGAACCTTGAAGAGTCTACGGGAGTGTGGTTTAACACACGAACATCAAGATAGAAGTCAAAATCGTTAGGCATCACGCTCCCCAGACCCACAAAGGAACTTTATTTTTGTGTGAAGGGAACGGGGGCCGGGGGTGTCTCAAGCAAAAAACATCTAATGAATATTATCAAGAATTATGTCATCGCAATTTTTCTTTCTTTAACTAAAAAAATCTTCCAAGATGCATTGATCATATTCTTTATCCATTTATTTTCGATTATTACGAATAAGTAATTTTTCACATTACAATTATCCAATAATAAATTCAACATAAATTCTACCAACTCTTCTCAATTTCTTTTGTCCCTCCACCATCCCAACACCTCCTTTCCTCTGAATATTTTGTATTAACAGCTTTTTCTCTTTTTAATTAATTAATAAAATTACATTCAATCCTTCCAATATTGTATCGTGTGATTTTCTATTGTCAATTAATATGAATGTCAAACTTTTATTTATCTAAATTCATATAGATATTTGAAGAGGACTCTTCCATGTTGATCATCTTAAGGCTGGAGCACTTTTACAACAGTTTTGTGACTATGCTCCTGTCTTTCTTCTTTATGATCGTGAAATACAATGTATCGTTAAACTTTTAATAACAAATATTCATTTTTACAACAAATTATAATATTTATAAATAGAATAAATAACGATCATTCATCCTCAAATTTTGATATAATTATTTGAGTAATACCACCTTATATTTTTATATTAAATTTAAAAAAACATTTACAATAAATTTTATTTAAATAATTAATTTATTTTTTTACATAAAATGATTTATATACAAAGATAGTTCTTTTTTTTTACACGGATCAATAATTATTGGATTATTAGTCATGTAATAACCCATGAATTAAACAACATCACATGCTACGGAGTAATTTATCAAGTTTTATAATGGAGAACACTGGGAGGTGCTGGTAAATCACTCGTAAATTGTCCTCCCTCTGAAGTCTAATTAATTAAATTTTGGTTTGTATTAAAATATTTTGTTTTAATTAATAAAAAATTTGATTACTCACCTGGGTCACATGACTAAGGGAATTATTTGCGGGATAATTTACACGTTGAGAATAACTTAAAGATGAATGATTAGTTGTTTGCAACAAACCTGGAGCAATAACATTAGGTGGTTTGTATCCTGGTACCTGAATAAATAAATGTAATAAGTATAATTATTTGTTGTTATATATCCAGTTCTATATTTTGAGTTTTGAAAAGTAATTTTATTTACCTTATCATTAATTTCCGGAAAAATAGTGCTTAAATTAAAATTTGTGAGACTTGTACCCGATGGATGATGAGTCATAACGGCTGAGTTACTACTGGAGCTTCCTCGACGATTAGAATTTGGCGGCAAACTTACAGTCGATGGATGGGAATGGTTTTGATATAAGGGATTTGAATGCGGTGGTGGAGGTGGAGGTGGTGGTAAGAATGTTGATGTATGAGTATGATGATGATGATGCGTATGAGAATGATAATCTTCCATAGATGTAGAAACACCAGCAATTGGAAAGTCTAAATTATGCATAGTAGAATCAGACTTTCTCTTGGTTTTTTTTGAAACAGCAGAATAAGAATTACGTTTATCACACGTGGGATGCTTATTTCCCCCATACTGATGATGATTTTTAACATTTGTTGTTCCACTAATGGTAGATGAAGTTGTTCTAGTTGTTGTGGAAGATGAAATACTGGTAGATATGTTTGTAACAGATTTAGATGTGACAGTAACATTGTTGACATTCGGTAAAAGAAATGAATTTGTCTCTAAATAATCAGTCGGATTATCATGAAGTGGCATCATATAACTACTAGGAGTATTTGAAATTCCAGTCATAAAGTTAGTACTAGGATAAATATTTGCGTTCGGAGAGTAGGTGTAAGATGAATGATTAAAATTTTGATTCATCACTTGCCCATACCCATTTCCATCTTCTGGATTGGCTAAATAATTAATCGGTGGCATAACCATTTCTGTTGACAATCCACTAGAAAATTTGTTCTGTGGATAATCAGTAGGAAATTTAATAGTAGGAGTATGAAGTTGTTTATCAGAGCTAACACCATCATGAATACTTGTGTTATTAACACCAATTAATGCCTCAGCAGTATAATTACTTTTACAATTTCTATTTCGCCAGGAAACATCATTTTGATGATACTTTGAAGCCTGTGAGTGCTGATAAGAATGATCATTATATCCGTGAGAAGATGACACTTTTTGATCATCAGAATGCTGTAATTGTTGATCACTCGTTTGTTTTCTCATATCTATTTGTCTTTTAGCAGCCGATCGTGGACTAGTATTACTTTTTCTTTGATGCTTTCTCGATTGAGGTTGTGAAGGCTGTTGATGTTGTTGATGATGATGATGATGATGATTATGATGGTGATGTGCATTTTGATTTGTTTGTTGATGAGATTTTTCAGCTTTTTCATGTTCTACAAGTTGACTTACTGATAAAAATGATGTTCCTTGAGCAGCATGTTGAATATTTTGAGTATTTAACATCGCGTGAAAATCTCTATTTGCGACCGGTTCTTTTTCTTTAGTCGATGTTTTTGATAAGTCATTACTAGATCGTGATGGCATTTGTCCGTACAAAAAACTTTGTTTCTCTGAAAGATTTGTGCCTAGTGCTAAATCTCCGACAAGAGTAGGTAAAGTAGATGGAACTACTTGCTGCTCTATTGATTTCATTACTTGTGAATGCTCAGAACTTTGAGGATTTTTTGATGGTGACCAAGAGAATGGCTGATCTTCTGGATAAAATCCATCAGCAATTCTTCTAGAATCATTTTGAAGTGTAGAAACATTAGAAAAGTTTGTACCTGTCACAGAAACTTCATAATTATTATAAAATTGATTTGATGCAGTTTGGTTGTACGACGAAGCCTGACTAAAAATATTATTTTGACAATATTCTAATTCTTTACCAATAGGTGGAAGAATTAGATCAGAAATATTAGTGTTGTGTTTAATTTCTGGAGTCATCATCCAATTAACTGGTGGACGTATTGCTTGTTGTTGCTGTTGAATAGCAGATTTTTTATTTACATTAGACTGTTGTTGTTTTGTAGCATTAAATGAATTGTCATGATGAAGAGTTGATGCTTGAGTTTGGAGAATTGATTGATATTTTATTTGAGAATGTTGTTCTTTATCAGAATTATATTTGTAATTCGTTCCTGGATAAATATCAGAGCATTTTGATTGCGTGATAGTATCACCAATATCAAAAGGAACTTGAGAATCATATCCAGATTCAGAATAACCTGTTTTTTCAGATTTAGATGTAACAATTTGATGATTTTTAGTTATATGTTGGTGACGTTGTTGATCAAGATTTGCATATTCTGTTTGCGTATATGATGAATCCATCAAAAATTTACTTTTATTTTTGTTGTCACTTACATTATTATATTTAAATTCTTCATTTATATTAGGATTATGGTTTCGATTGGATTTTTCTTGACTAGTAACTGATTGAATATTATTTTTATTCTTTGAAGTATCATCAAATGATTGCTGTTGCTTCTGATTCGATTTACTTTTTGATTTATCAACACCTTGAAGAGTTGAATCACTAGCAAAAGATTCACTGGGCAAGATATTGCCAAATCCAACATTTTCTTTATGGAGGGGTGTATAATTGAAATTTTCACAAATAGTTTTCCCTTCCGTATCATCCACATGATCTGTTCCAGACTCAAACTGAACGAGATTATTGTTACTAGTGCCACCACCAATCGGTGAAAACGTTGTCCAAGAAAGTATACTAAAGTTAGACGAATTGTGTGCAACAGTTGTCGTTGATTTTGCTGAATTATCTGTTACACTACTTTGACTATAATTAGATGTTGCTACAAATGTTTGATGTTGGGATTGTTGTTGAAGTTGATTTGGATATCGAGAAAGTGAGGAAGTTTGATTATGAGATTTACTAATTTGAATATTCGATGGAGTTGATCCATCAAAAATCTTTTTTTGTTCTCCTCTAGGATAAGAAGCGTAAGATTGTAATTCACTTCGTTTGTCTTGAAACATTCCATCAATTAAATTGTTTGATTTAGAATCTTTGGTTCCATACGAGAAATTATTCGTGTGTACAAATTGTTCAGGACTGATTTTATTTACAGAAGAATTGACTGATGTTTCAACTGGTGAATTGTCTTGATTTGATGTTTTGGTCCGAATATTATTTGGTAATTTATTTCTTTGATCTGTTGAGCTCGTTGGAATAAACGAGTTCATTGGTGATGTTTGTTTGCTTTGTACAGGATAATTCTGATTTAAATTTTCTTGTTCTTTATTTGATATTTGCATTGATAGAAATCCTTGATAAGAATTTTCAGCAGTTGAAATTTTGTTTGTTAAAGTTGAAGATAAATTATTGTTATTTCGGGATTCAATATACGATCTTGATGTTAATTGTGATGAAGTTAGATTTAAAGTTGATGCAGTACTTTTATTGTGACCCATAGAATATTCATGGTATGGTAGTTGAGAATTTTTATTTGACATTACATAATTATTTTGAGTACCAAGGGATTCACCATAAACTTTTTGTGAATCTTGGGAAGGAAATTGGTACTGAACGCTTTGAGAAGATGTTTCATTCAAATTTCTTGGCTGATATTCTTGACTTGTTACAGTAATCGAATGTTGATATATTTTAGAATTGTCTATTGGAAGCATTGAATTTTCACTGGAACCAGTGAATGTTGAATAATTTGGTAGACATTCAGGTAAAGATGGATATTTTGAATTATTAATGCTGTTATTGTTATCATTAGTCGTTGTAGTAGTAGTAGTAGTAGTAGTAGTAGTAGTAGTAGTAGTAGTAGTAGTAGTAGTAGTAGTAGTAGTAGTAGTAGTAGTAGTAGTAGTAGTAAATTTAGCTAACTTATTTATATCACCATCAGATGATGGTTCTGATTGATTATTATATTTATTTAAAGTTGTATCAGTTTTTTCAGATAATTTTTTGTTTGTAGTTTCACAACTAGTTGAAAATGTTATGAGATTTATAGTAGAATTATTGTTTAATTGAGTTATTTTTTTAACTATATTATCATCAGATGTTGACATTTCTGTATTATTAGACGTAGTTGATGTTGAAGAGTTTGTAAAACTATTAATGATACCAGACATTGTAGGTTTAGAAAAAGGTACTACTTTATACAATCGTTCTTTGAATGTTTCATTATTAATAATTTTAGGTAATACTTTTGTTAAAGAAGCTTCATTATTTTTAACCTCTTGTTGAGACTGACATTGTGTATTTTTAATATTTTTTTCGTTCATAGTACATTTATCATCATTAATAGTTGTTTTAACTTTGAAACTATTAGGTTCTATTGCACCAATTTGTAAAAGCATTGGAGGGGTTTGACTATGATATTTTAAATCTTCTTTCATTTCTTCCTCTAATACTTCAGTCTTTCCATTAAGTGATGAAACTAAAGGAAAAGCCATTAGAAAAGCGGCTGTAGGCGAGATAGATTCAGGATTGTGAGAGCTAGATGGGACTTGTAGAGAAGCAAATAGATCATTTGATAAATCTGAATGTAAAGTCTCCGGACGATTTCCAATTGGAATGAAACTATTTTCTGTATTATAAGAAAGAGTTTTAGGAACATTCTCTTTTAGTTTATCACTCACTTTAGATATCACTTCTGATGAAACTTCTGTTGTAGAAGGTGAAGTTGGAGGTTCATTCAAAGATTGCGCTGCAAGTGGGCTGGTTTCTGGTTTCATTGTAGTTGTTGTATTTGTATCTAAATTGAGAATTATTTTTGTGCTATCTCCAATAATTGAAGTATCTTGAGTTACTGTTACTTGAGGTTCATCAGCTGTTTGTAAAAGACTATCAAATCTAGTATCCAAATCGCACATTTCTTTTGCTTTCTCCATATCGTCGTTAGAAATAACTTTTTCAACACCAGACAAAGAATTAGATATTTTCGAATCCTTTTTAATTGTTATTGAATCGATTTCAGTTGATTTTATTAATAAAGATTCTTCATCAGAGACTTTAGAAGTTTTATGGTGCTTATTAACTTCAATAATTGGATGTACTCTTTGTTGTAAATCACTCTCAGTTTCTTTCAACTTTAATGTATTTAGAGAGCACTCTTTTATTTCGTTATCTGATTTTTTAACTTCAGGCATTGAAAAAACTTGTTTGATTCTTTCTCCTAATGAAGAATTATTATCTGATTTTACATTGAGATTATTTAGAGAATGATTTTCACATTTTTCATGATCATTTATTTTTTCAATCATGTCGTCAGATGCTTCACCTATTTTTTCGACTACATGACGTAAATTTTCTATGGATTCACACGTTTCTGGTAGATTTTTTATTATTTTAGTTGGTGGTGGACTATTGCTCTCACAATCATTTTCTTTCTTTCTTTTTTTGCTAAATTCTTCTGACATGATTTCTATATCATTCACTGTTTCTTTTTGATTGTTATCTACTTTTTTCTCCTTTTCATCAGATTTTTTTCGTTTAACGACCTTTTTAATTTTATTTTTCTTTTCCATTTTTTCTGAATTATTGTTATTTATAGTTTTATTTGCTTTTATTTCTCTATGCACTACAGGGATTGGAACTTTATAAGCCATTGTTGTCTTAGTAATTCCTTTTCCTTTAGGTAAAATTCCTTTTCGACCTCCAATTTTAGTTGCTTCAATAATTGATTTTACATTTGATACCCAATCATGTGAATTTATTCCTACAGTCGTTTGTATACTAGGCACAGTATTTAAGGTAACTTTCTGTACAGATTTAACAATATTAGAATTTTTAACAGTAACAACAGGTTCTGATACTCGATTTGTTAATGGTTGCATCATGATCATAGGATTTGTTTGATTATTACCAAGAATAATTGAATTAGGAGATGAAGTTGCGCTATTTACCAAAATATTTGGTGCTAATGGCGTGATTAAAGGCATTATCTTTCCTCCTGACAATATAAGAGTTCCTGGTACTAAATTAGTAATTGACTGATTTTGATTTTTAATTGCTGATATGTTACTGATTACCTTAGTTTGTTCTTCGTCATATTTATTTTTTCTTTTTACTTTTTTTTTTGATTCCAATTTTCGTATTTCAGCACATGATTTTGGACCATTAATTTCAGAGGTCTCGGGTTCATTTGTCGATACTAGCATAAAAGGAAACTGATTATTATTATTTTTGAAACAATTTGTGAAAATGAAATCTTACCCGTGTCTGTATTGTTTCGTAGTTCAGGATTTTTTGTTGATACTACGTCATTTTTACATTCTTCTCGTTCATCTTTGCTACTATTTACATGATTTTCTTGATCTTCTACCGGACTATTGTTATTTAAAGCTTCTTTATCATTATTTAATTTTTTTAAAGATGTAGAAGAATTGGTTGCAGATTTTCTCTTCGATGGTAATTTTAGCTTAGTTGAATTACTTTTACGTTTCTCTGCTTTAGACCCTATTAATTATTTTAAACAATTAATATCTATTTTCATTTAAAATATATAAAAATACTGTTTATTCTTACGTTCTTTTAATCGATCTAAATATTTTTCAGCATCTTCAACATTAATTTTGTTGGACCATTTCAAAGGAGAAATTTTTTCTAAAGCAGGCTCTGCTGGCACAGTAATTCCAGCATCTTTTAGAAGAGCTGATAGTAATTGGGTCCGTGAATAAAGCTGTGCCACCAACTTCTTCAGACGATTTAGTTCTTCTTTGTGTGCATCTACTGCATGTGCATGAAACAATTCTTCTGTACGATTTGTCAAGTCTTTTATGTACTTTGATGCATGGATTAAAATGTCCACTTTGTTTCGGTTTTTGCCTTCTTGATTTGGTGGCAAAAGATCTCCCAAGTTTTTGAAATATAAATTCATACGATTTCTTCGCTCTCGTTCCCATGTTTTAGCATTTCTAAATCAATAGCAAATAGAAAAATCATCATCCAATTAATAAACATAATATTTAATTGGCAATAAAGAAAGAGGTTAACTTTAATTTACTACACATACGTTTTTTCTTTACGGGGCATAATTTCATTTCAGATCATCCTTTTGATAACTAATAATACTGATGTTATAAATTTGATCATGATTTTACAATTTTATTTTTTTTTTCTATTTATTGTATTTAGAGTTGTCATCGGCCACTTTTTTTCTGTCAACTGAGTAATATAAAATAAATTTTCACCAAATATTATAAAATTATTTAACGATATAGTATTTAGACAAAAAATTCTTATTATTTAATTTAACCATATTGTTATTTTAACTACACTTTTTACATTCTATTTCTAATTATTCAATCAAAGTTTTTTTTTCTACATTAAACGAAATTTCATTGACAGAACCTTTGCTTGACTGGTGTCGCCACGTTGTGATAATAATAGTAACTATTATTTTATTTGAATGTTTAATTTACCAAAAAAAAAATAATGAATGATCATTTATTGTAATTATAATTGTAAATTTTACCATTCACTAATTTTTTTTACAAATTTTTAAACAATAATTTCCTCTACTTGGACGAAATAGCTAAACAACTATTCTTTGAAGTACAATCATTTGGATGATTACCTAAATTTCTTCTATTTATCACACTTTGAGTTTGTCAGCTTGAAAAATTTTTTAATTTTGAGATAAAAATGGAATAACTCATGACCAACTCAATTAGATTTGTATATAAAAATAAAAATTTAATATTTCATGTGATAATTTGATAATAATTTATGGGTGTAATTATGAAATTTTTCTGTACATTGAATAAAATGTATCGAATAAATGTAGATATTTGTTAGAATGAAAAATTTTAAAATTCAAATGATTATGATGAATAAATCTGTCATGATGAAGTTTTATGTTATGTGGTCTTTATAAATGTCGCTTCAGATTTCAAGACAGGCTCTTAAAACAGGCAAAAAAAAGATTAACGAGATTCTTGAAAGCAATTCATAAAGCGTTCATGAGAAGATGATGATAGACATTTGGTGTTTAATGTGCAATAAGTAAAATTATAATACCAGTTGAGAATCGTTTACTAATGATGGTAATAATGATAATTACTTTGAGATGTTAGTAATATATATTTTTACTTATATTTTTCTAATCTCATCAGTATGCAGTTTTCTTAGTAGTTAAATTACTAAACTGTCGTTATTTGGCAAGTTTTCGAGGACAAAGTATCTTTAAATTAATTCACTTACTATTAACAATTCACTTGGCTCTGAGATACTTTAAAACTTATTTTGGTATATACCTTGAATTTCTATTTTGATTAGATAATTAACTTGCCAGTGGGAAGTTATAGTAATGGGTCCGATTTTGTGAATCCCGAATTTTGACATATCTCCACGTTTTAAGGTCCCCAGAGTCGAATACGATCGTTTCCCAGTGGACGTCTGTGTATGTGTATGTACGTATGTGGGTATGTGCGTATGTGCATATGTGCGTACGTACGTTCGGAATTATTTTTCGCCTCGATTATCTCGAGAACAAAAAATGATATCGATGTGGGACCAATTGCATTCGACGCGTAATTATGTAACTTAAAACTGATTAGATTTTCAGCAAAATCGGTCCAGCCATTTTTTTTGCAGAACCAAAAAACTAGCAAAAATGGAAAATGACCTGAATTTCTCAATTTATAAATTATACCATTTTTTAGACAAAATTTCGAAATCTTTTAAAAAATATGAATATTAAATGATTAGAATACTTGTATGAAAATATGGTGACAATATTTCATCGAAAAAAAAAATCTTAAAAAACAAAATCAGCAATGAAAGAATTTTAAACTCGTGTCAGGATTGAGAAAACAGCATTAAAGACGCTATAATAGTCAATAATAATTGTCAATAATATGGAATTGTGTTCATAACAATTGAATATTGTTACTAACAAGTGATTATTGATCATGGTAATATTTAAATAATAAGTTTTAAATTGTTATAAACAATAAAAATAGGGACCCTTTCTATATATGTATATGAGTACTTTTAACGCATAATTTTTTCTTTTACTAAAAACATGTTACCAACCGTATGACATAAATGAAAACATACTTTTTTCGTGTATAACAATGAAATTTGTTGTAAATAATGAAAAAAAGGATCTATGAGGTATATTCGAATTCTTCTAACGCACAATTTTTTCTTTCACTGAAATAAAGTAACTAACCATATCAATCGAATAAAAACACAATCATTTCGTTTATAACAATTAAATCTGTTGTAAACAATTGGAAACGGGTTCTATTCAAGGTGTTTTTTCATTTTTTCCACTGGGAAGTTGGTCGTGTGGTCCTTTCGGGTCGCACCCAGACCACTGCAGAGCACTGATATTTTGATGGTCATTTGTTCATTAACGAAAATATTTTATCGTAAATTTGAAGAAATCAAAATAAAGTAACAATAAAACAGCTAGCTAATTTACACACTTCTTTTATTTATTCTAATTAACAGAAGTAGGTATATATCAAACCATCCAGAATCATCAATCAAATTGCTCTAGTTGTAATAACGTCAATTGGTGGTGAGAATAAACTGAGGTCGTCAACAAGGGAGGTATGCAGGCTAAGAGGTTCGAGAGAATACGAACACATGTCATTGAATAGAAGAAAGAAAATAGAAAGGTAAATAAGAGGAAGAGTAACCTCTGATATTGATTTCGTACTGGAGAAGGCTGCACCCTTCTTTTTGCCAATATTTACAACGATCAGATGATTTAAAAAAAACATTTTCTATTGTTTTTTCTCGTTCCATTGTAAAATTCTTAATTATCACCAAAACTTGTATTCAAATAATTCAATGATATAAATTTTCAATTATTTTTGAAATTTTGTTTAAAAAAAATTTCAATAACCATTTCAAGAATAAAATTATATTACATTATAAATAAACATTGAAAATGGTAATTCAGATTTTAGAACTAGTTTACTTAATTTTTTAATGATGGAAAAAATAGTAAAAATTACTAATTTATTTATAAAAACTAAAAGCATGAAAAATTTCAAGTCTCAGACTTGTATAATTAAATATCGACCAAAGTAGATCAGTGTTATGAATTCAACATAATCATCTAATAATTTTATCTAAACGATAAATCAACTAACAATATGAACAAACGAACTTTAGAATAAATTTTTTTTTATCAATAATTATAACTTGTTGATTAAATAAAAAAATTTATTGATATTCACTCGATCATTGTATCAGATATATGTATAAAAATAAGTTTTTCATTTGTGTTGATAAAAAGTTTATTTAAAACGATTTTTTACCTGATAAAATAAATATATTAACTAATTCTTCACTTTAATACCCGTGATTCTATGAAGGCAAGATGACATCATATGGCCTGCATAGTTAGTTTAATAAGAAGATTAGCTGAAATTTGGAATTCCATGTTGTAATCATTTCACAATCTAGTGTTGAGTTTACATTTTATCAAATTAAATATCGGAGTTCAATTAAAGCCCGCCTCCATATGGAATGTGAGCTTGGGACAGAATTTGCCAATGAGATTTCTCGGAACAAGAAAGGGGAGATTGCTGTTTCCTTGGTGATGTTGCGCACACAGCATCACTTCAGTTCCACCCTTATCATATATAAAATGGAGGTCCGTTGAAATCTCCAAATTGAAAGATAAAAATTAGTTAGATATTTTAGTTGTTACCAATAATTCAAACAGATTTTGGTCCCCTAAGTAGATATCATTTTCACCGACATGTATGTGTATTACACAAACAGAATCACGTGATTGTAAACAGACTAGTATCATATGGTAAACCCGGTCGGTTACAATCATATTTGTCCCTCAAAAGGTTTTCCTGAGAAATAGCATGCAGGTATATATTATTTATATTAAACAATGTCACACTATTAATAATAATATTTCTGTTCAAAGATTAACATGGAAGTTATTATGGTAAGATTGATTTACTTGTCTATATTAATTTAATAAATACGTTAATAAACTTTAAAAAAAAAGTCGATTGAATATTAAGAGATAAATAGAAATATTCAGTGAATTAATACAATTTATGTACAAGTATTTATACTTTAATTCAAAATAAAAATATTTTTTCAATGACAAAACAAGTCCAGATAATGGTCAGTTTTATAATTACTGATGACAATTTAAAATTAAAATTAAAATTTCCGAGAAAACATAACGCTTAAGTAATATTTTTTTTCAATTTGTACTTAATTTTAGGGAGGACTAAAAGCATCAGGACTTATGCATGCATCTCAAGTCCTAAATGTCTTCCTTACAAAGTATTACTCTTTTGATACCGGTTTGGCTCCTTGGAGAGAGTCAAAGATTAAAAAGTTGAAGTATGAAAAAAGAAGCCGTAGGCATGAAGTTTTATAGACCGTTTTCTTTTTCTTCTCGAATAGCGTTCTTGAAAAAAGAAATAAAGCTCGGGTGTGAATCATGGATATCGCGGGCACCAGGTCAACACTCCACTTGGTGAAAATTGTTATGGTATTTCTTATTTTCTTTCGTTGTATGAATAAGATCATATTATACTTTAAAAGCAGTTTAACAATTACTGTTATGTCTGGATAGTGTATTTAATAGAGCAATAAGTACTCATGAGTCTCTATACTGCAATTGTGGAATACAGTGAAAAGTCAGCACTTGACAGTAACGTTGTAATCTCATTTCATTTCCTTCTTATTTTATTGATATAATAAGCAAAGAAATAAAAACTTTGTACAAAATTATTCAAATGCAAGTTTGGATTCTTTAAACAAATGAAAACATAAAATAGGAATTTTTTACACGTCACTTGAAGGTTAAAAGCAGGGCCTTCTAAAAATTTCAAGTTATTTATCAAGGAATTATTTTATTGGTAAGCTGACTGACGTGAAAATATTGTAAATTAAAATTAATACAAAAACGAAAAAAACAAATAAAACTAGATTGGTCATCGTGAAGATTAAATGATAAAAAAATGATACATAATTATTTTCATTTATAATATTGTGCTTATGTATATTTAATTGAATATAATAAAAATATGAAACTTTTTTATTATAAAATAATAATCATGAGTTCTAACTTCTTTGATGGCGATTAAGTGGCCAGTAGACGATAGCGGATGCGCGTTACATTAATATGTATGACAGTATGTGGGTATTTAAATATTAAAGTGAGAGATATTTATGCCAATGGCGCCTTCGGGATGTCCTTTACTGTGTACGTGATGTTTTTACTTTTTTATCGATATCATATGG